GCTTCTCAGCAAGAGCAGTTTCCTCCGAGAGAACCTTCCAGAACTGAGTCTGCCATCCCCTCCCCGTCCCCCAACCAGAGCAGGTACAATGGTAGGCTTCAGGAAACTTTTTGTGCCGCAGTTTGCCCTCAGGTGAGGCATTGCCCACGTGGAGACACCATGTTCCAACGGCGACACCATGCCAAAGTTGGGAGCTGGGGACTTAGGGCTGGATTTCTTGGAGATGATGTTCTGTTTCTATGCAGGCTCCAGAATATTCCTTTTATTCCTGAGACAAATAGTAAGGCCAAGAGCGGAGCTCCCCAACTGGCTGGCTCTGTAGGAAGCTCCTGTCTGTTGTGGTCGCCCTTGTTCTTGGGCCCCCAGGAGAATTCTGCCCCAACCTGCCTTGGTTCCTGTCCTTGTCTTCCTGGTCTGATAGAGGTCAAGGCTTGAGACTAGGAAGTGTAACCTCACCTCCCAGGTGGAGAGCTGAGGGAGGAGCTAACCAGGCCAGGAATCACACACCCACCACAGGTCAGGGTTCCTTTGAGCAGGCCCTTGAAGGCTTGTGATTATTCTGACTGCACTGGAGACCCACTGGAGGCTGTTGAGCTGCAGGCGGCTCATGGCCTACTTTGCAGTTGTGCGTGCGTACATGCGTGTGTGTGTGTGTGTGTGTGTGTGTGTGTGTGTGGTTGTTTTTTCGAAACAGGGTTTCTTTGTGTAGCCCTGGCTGTCCTGGAACTCACTCTGTAGACCAGACTGGCCTCTAACTCAGAGATCCGGCTGCCTCTGTCTCCCGAGTGCTGGGACTGAAGGCATACGCCACCACTACCCACTACTTTTCAACTTAATGGCAAAGTTCTTAGAAAGGCAGGAAGGGCAGCCTGTGGTCCTTCCTCAGCCCTCTTTCCTGGCATCCCACACCATCTTGTTCCATTTGTCAGAGGGGCCAAAGTATTGGGGTGCCACCCTCAGCTAGCTGTGAAAACTTGTAGAATGAGGTGTGGTTCCCACAGAGGCTCCCATTGGTTGTCATGGAGATGGGGGTGAGTGAGGAGTTCTGGGCAGTCCAGTAGCTGTTGTCACCCCACCTTCAGCTGTGTGACACTTCTGAGCAATTGTGAGCCTTTCATTCTGGGCCTCAGACAGGAAGGTGTCCCCAGGCCAGAGCCATCTGCACCATAGGCACGTGGGTGGGATAGAACCATGGTGACCACGGTTGTCAGGCCTTATCCTCCTCTGAGTGCCTACTGCGGAGGTATTGAGGTCCGACGGGGTCTGTGGGCAGGATATGGCAGGCATACTGCAAGCCCCCCTGCAGCTGGCTTCCTGGGAGAGAAGAGCTGTATTCAGCTGCAATTACTGAGAGAGTGAAATCAATAGGGCAGCCCTTTAATGGAGAGTGGGCAGCGCTGAGCTGGCCCCAGGAGGCAGTCAGCTCTATAGGGAGGGGCCGTGTGCTCCGAAGGAAGAGCGGCAATCAGTGGCCATTACCTAGCCCATTTCAGAGGGGGACAAACTGAGGCTCTTACAAGAAACAGAGCTAGCTGCTGGGCTTTGTCTCGGCCCCAACACCTGCCTGCTCTGTGCTGCACACAGTGATCCTACCGTGAACCATATTCTTTCCTTGCCTCTCCAGCACCCCACGGCTGCATTCCCTCCCCTCACTCTGCTTGGAAAGGACGCAGCTGAATATAGTCATTTACGCCTTAGTCGAAATTAATTTCCCTTCTTTAGTAAGTATTCACGCAGGAGTAGTACGCCAGAGGAGCCCATTAAGTGTGTGATACCTGAATAATAGAAGTGTTGGCCAGTGGAGTATTGTCACAGAGAAGTGGGTGTGTGTGTGTGTGCGTGTGTGCCTGCACACACCTTTGTGATGGGCGCACACGTACATCTGGAGGCCAGAGGACAACCTTGGGTGTTGTCCTCACAGATTTCTCTAAGTACGCTAGGCTTGCTAGTCAATGAACTGCAAGTATCCACATTTCTCTGAGAGCCTCCTGGGTTCTGGGAATACAAGCCTTTGCCACCAAACTTTTGTTGTTTTTGTTTGTTTCCCGAGACAGGGTTTCTCTGTGTAACAGCTCTGACTGTTTGTAGATCAGGCCGGCCTGTACTCACAAGAGCTCCACCTGCCTCCGCCTACCAGATTAATCCTCTGGGATTAAAGGCATGCACCACCACTGCCTGGCCAAACTCCTGGGGATTGAACTCATGTTTGCCGAGCAAGTTGTCCAGCCGAGCCAACCGAGCCATCTTCCGCCATCCCTGAACTTAGCTTTTTGGAGTCTCAACTCGAAGATTGACTGAAACCTTGTAGCCTGGATTGCCTGGAGGGAAAACGGGTGGCGCTTGGGGCCTGAGGTGCCAGGGGTTGTCTCCGCCAACACTGGCTGCTGAGGGCAGGCCTGTAGAGCGTTGTGGGATACTAGTGGGAGGGGAAAGTGGGGCGTGTTTCAAGAACTGCAGAGAAACCGTGCGGTTGGCCTAAAGTGCGGGTAGTGGGCAGAATGGTGGCCAGGGTCCTGAGCAGTTGGCAGGATACCCTGAGGACAACAGGGAGTCACAAGGTGTCAAGGGGATGGTGATGTGCCGTGCCACATAGATCTAGGCATAGGTTGGGGTTATGTGGCCTAAACTCAGTGAGTAGGGTGCTAGGGGAGAAATTCCAGTCTGAGGCCCAGGGCCCACACCTTAGTCACCAAGTTCAACAAGGCCATGCTCAGGACCTCTGTGGGTCTCCCAGTCCTGCTGCTGCGGGAGCCCCTGGCCCAGACAGGCAGCTTCTCTCCCAGATCATTCCAGCCCCTGATGCTCGCTTCTCCTTTAAAAAAAAGAGAGAGAGAGAAGAAAAAAAAAGCTTTTTTTTTTTTTTTAAAGATTTTATTTTTAGGATAAGAGAAAAAAAAAGGTTGGGGGAAAGGCTTTTTGAAAATTCCTTCGGCACAGAATTAATGGCTTGTGAACGTCAGGGCGGGCTGCGGGAGTCAGTTCCCAGTCTTTCCGCTGCCTCTCTTCTCACCATGGCCCACAAATCACCCCCAGCCCAGAGACCGCTCTGCCTTTCCCAGGACCCCCAACCTGGCTGGATGGCCCAGCAGGGCTCAGCAAAGAACCCCAGAGCCACTCCTGGGGTCTCCCAGAGCTCGCATCCCACGGAAAGGGTTTACAATTTTAATTTAGAAAACAACTCATTTAATGACGCAAGTCAGTACTCTGTATTCACTGGAGAATGTTATGTAAGTTGTGGGAGACAAGGTCTCAGTGGGATGGGGCGGCCATAGCATTGTGGTGCAGGACAGCTGGGGAGGAGCCCAAACCTTTCAGCACCCATTTCAGCTCAGGTATGTCCAGTACAAAAGCAAGTGGGTCGGCCCCGAAGCAGAGGTCAGAAGGAGTCAGAGTGCAGAGTGATTTTGTTTGCACGGTTTCTATTGCTCTTGTTCAGCCGAGGTCCTAGAATATTAAATGGAAAAATCCAGAAATAATTCACAATCTTGAAGTCGCTTGCCATTCCAAGCGCCATGATGATGTCTTGTGCTCTCCATCCCAACCCCGCATCTGGACCTGAGCCACGTCCAGTGTTTCCACCCTGCCTAAGCCACCTATTCGGTAGCTGCTCAGTAATCGTGGTTACTGCCCTCCTGTCCCCAGATGCCAGAACTTTGCTCCCATGACCCTAATTTTTCTTAAAGTGCAAAATCATGATGGTGGCAATTTGATGCATCACAGAAAAGCCATGAAATGCTACTCTAGGAGAAGGGGTAGAAATTCCTGACTGAAAGCTGCCGAGGTCTGCTCGCGTGTGAGCCGGGGCTCACCCTAGCTGTACTCCATTGCTGTATTCTGCTATTGTTCTGTTATCGCTGCTCTTACTGAGACGACTGGCAAATTCTTACAGGGCAATACGTATGGGACTGAATTGTGAGTGTTGGGCTTGTTCCTGTGTTTTCTGATATTCCCAGAGGACTTGGGACATACTCCTGTGGGCAACCTGGCAGACAGTCGTGGGAGAAAGACAGCCCTGAGGCTGGACAGGACAGGCTGGGGAGGTGGCTGGAATGGAGACCTGAGGGTGCGGAAGGCTGGGGTCAGAGAAGCCCTTTGAGGGTTGGGCAGTTCGTTTATGTGTGCTGGGCAAATGGTCCTCCACTGACCTCCATTCCTTGTACTCTACCCATGTGGAAGCGTGTGTCTGGAGGTCAGAGGACAACTTTCCAGAGTCCATCCTCACCATCCACTTTGAGGCCGTGACTCTCTTGTTGCTAATGGGGAGTTTGGAGGAGTCTCCTGTCTCTGCTTTCCATCTGTCCATAAAAGTTCTGGGATTACAGATGTGCACCTCTGCATTTGGCTCTTTACACAGCTTCCACAGACAAACTCAGCCTGTGTGGCAAGCCCTTGTAGCTGCTGAACCATCTCACACACCCAACAGGCACCCCTCCCACACACACATAGGAACAGTCCCAAGAAACTGGGGGTGTCAGTAGGTAAGCTGAGGCAAGGATGACTTTCAGTGACTGAATTTGGGCTCTTCTGGCCTGTGCAATGGCCGGCCAGGAGGAACGATGTGGCCAGGTGTGTGGCTGTCACCCAGTTCCAATCACCTGCGTCTTTTATTCTGAATTGGGATTTCACTGTATTGCTCAAGTTGGTCTGAAATTCCCAGGATCAGGTGACCCTCCTGCCTCAGCTTCCCCGGTGTCTGAAGTGGCAAGTTGTCCCCCTGTAGTGTACCTTAGCCAAACTGGCCAGCCTGTCTTTCCTCCCTCCCTCCACCCCGAACCCAGTCCAGTTCCCACTTACCTTAAACACAAGTCATCTCCTACGGGTAGCTCTGTCACCTAAGGTCAAGGTTAGACCTGGGTAGGGTCTAGGTATCTGTTAAGCTTGGCCTCAGCTTGGAGGCGGGGCCTTCAAGCAGGGGCTGAGAGCTGAGATCCGGCTGTGTGGGTAAGCAGGGAGCCAGAGAAGGTTCCAGAGCTGAGGTCTAACCTGCCTTGTCTCCACAGCTACAGCTGGAGCAGCTGGATTGTGGTGCGGCCCACCTGCAGCACCCCCTGTCCATCCTGCAGCCGCTGAGTGCATCGCCCGTGTTCCGTGCTCCGGGGCTCACAGCTGTGGCTGTGGCCAGTGCCAACAACTATACTGCTGTCTTCCTGGGCACTGCCACCGGGAGGCTACTGAAGGTAAGTTTATACGATGGGAACTTCCCAAGGATGGGCCACAGAAGGTCCAGTGTTACTGTCCCCTTCAGGCTTTCCCTCCATGGCTCCACAGTAGCCTCTCGTGGAGGGGAGGACCTGGCCCAAGAGCTGTCAGCATCATCTCTCCTGGCTTGGGGTCTGTTGCCCAGTAGTAGCTTCTTGATCTTTGCAGTGCTCTCGCTGGGCCTCAGTTTCCCTACTGGCTGCAGTGGTTGTAGTATTTTAATAAGGGGGGGTGCACAGTCCTGCTGGCCTCCACTTCAGGGGTCCAGTTTCTGGCTTAGCCATGCTGGTGATCGCCCTGCAAGTTCCAGAGCTAAGGGAGGGCAAGGAGTTTTTTTTTCTTAACCCAGGGCAGGGTGGACAGGAGGGACAACCCCCACCCGCTCGCTGCCTCTCTCTAGGGAAGAGTCAGCCTCCGAGCCAAGCTCAGTCTAATTGACTCAGAGCTCATAATCTGATTCCCTTTGGCAGCTGCCTGGGTGGGATGGGGGTGGGGCTTGAGCCCTACAATCCTGGCATGGAACCACCCGTTGTGGACCCAGGGCCCCAATACGTGTTGCTCAGCTTCAGTCCTCTGCTGGGTGAAGGAGGTGGCTGTCAGGGCTCAGTGTGGTATCAGAGGCGTGGCTTCTGCTTTTGACTTCTGTTCCTTGCTGTGTGGCCTGAGGGCAGAGCATGTCTCCTCTGGATTCAGACTCTATCCATCCAGGAGAAATGAGGCAGATGAGGGCTGTGGTCAGAGCCCTCTCCACCTTCTGCCCACAAAGCTGCCATCCTTAGACACCTGCTGTTTCTCGGTGCCTCAAAGTTTACGTAGCAGGAACCATGCCCTCTCTCACACCAGTCCAAGGATGTAACTGTGAGTCTGTTGCACAGAAGGGGGCTACTGAGGTCCTTCAAGAGATGTGACTGCCCTCAGAGTGACCTCGTAGATAAATATGGGTCATTCCTTTTCATTTCTAATTGATTTATCTGTGCCATGCTTGGGGTGGAGCCTAAGACCTCAGTGATGGAGCTGAACTTAGGCAGGTGCCTGCCCGCTCCACAGCTCAACCTGAAAAGGTCACACACCAGTCTGCGCAGGGTGGTGTCTCTCCTGCCAACCCTTTCCTTGTCTGGAGCTTCTAGCTCGATCGCTCGCTAGGGCCTCAGGGCTCAGTGAACACCTAGGGAGGAGAAATGAATTGGTGTCTGTGTCTGAGTGTGTGGGGTGGCGTGTGTAGTGTGAGAACAGTAACCAAGGCCCTGCTAGCATCCCAAGAGGCCTCCCGGCAGCAGGGACGTCTCAAAGGCCAAGCCTGAGCCTGGGGGGGGGGGCGGCGCGGGTGTCTGAGGATGACTTGGTACACCCCAGAATGAAAAGGATGGCAGTACTCTTAGGAAGGCGTGTGGCAAAGACAAGACAGGCCGTGGGGGCGGGCGTATGTGTAACAGAGAAGCAAAGGGAAAAGAGCTGGGGGTGTGGCTGCATCGATTATCAAGGCTCTGAATCCACAGCCAGGTTCTTCCTGCAGGGAACCTCTGCAGGTTTTAGAAACCCAGAGGAGGGTGAGTGAGAGGGAGGCCCCAGAAGTCCAGACCACCAGCCTTAGATAAACTGCTTAGAGCCCTGAGCACCCAGCATGCTGGGGACTAGAGGGGAGCACAGACAGGACTTTGCCAGTCCTCAGAGGGGCGAGCACAGGGGCCTGGGACCTCGCCTGGGACTCTGCAGCCCTGTAGAATAGGTGGCCATCCCCCATGACTCTTTTTTTTTTTTTTTTTTGGTTTTTCGAGACAGGGTTTCTCTGTGGTTTTGGAGCCTGTCCTGGAACTAGCTCTTGTAGACCAGGCTGGTCTCGAACTCACAGAGATCCACCTGCCTCTGCCTCCCAAGTGCTGGGATTAAAGACGTGCACCACCACCGCCCGGCTCCCCCATGACTCTTATCCACTGGGTAAACCAAGGCAGGGCACGGGAGAACAGCTCATGTGGATTGTACATGAGAGTGTTTTGGGAACTGCGGCCTACACATAGACCTAGGGGTATGCTAGAGTTGGGCAGTGGGGAGTTCCTGGTGGGGGCGCTGTGGAGTCTGTGTGGGAATAAGAGTGTGGGACGTTCCCCCTAGATGCCTGGCTTTCCCTTTAACCCTGGGCCATCCGAGCAGGAGGGGAGAGAAGACCTGAGGTAGCCTTACCTTGTGGGTGGCAGTCCTGGCATCAGCAGCTGGCGGCCTTTCCTCCCACAGATCAGCCTGAACGAGAGCATGCAGGTCGTCAGCAGGCGGGTGCTGACAGTGGCCTATGGGGAACCTGTGCACCATGTCATGCAGTTTGACCCCGTGGATCCTGGTTTCCTGTACCTGATGACGTCCCACCAGGTGAGGCGAGCTATAGCCAGCCAGCTTTGGTGCAGGGCCTTTGCACACGCTGACCGTCCTCCTGGGGCCACCTCCACTACTCACTCATGTCAGGGACTCCATGCTTCAAGGAGGCCATGTCTCCCCAACATGTCCTCAACTAACGCCTTCAACCTTAGCTGCCCCTACCCTCACAAGACAGGGGCGGCTACCTTGCTCAACTGGACCCCTTCTGCCTGCAGATGGCCCGTGTGAAGGTTGCAGCATGTGAGGTGCATTCCACTTGCGGGGACTGTGTGGGCGCAGCTGACGCCTACTGTGGCTGGTGCACTCTGGAGACGCGGTGAGGGCCCCCACCCCCCACCCCTGATGCAATGCTGACAGGTCAGGGAGGGCTAAGGGCAGTGGCCCTGACCTTGGACCTGACCCCGCGGTGCCTACAGGTGCACACTGCAACAGGATTGCGCCAACTCCAGTCAGCCGCATTTCTGGACCAGTGCCAGTCAGGGCCCCGGCCGCTGCCCTGCCATGACCGTGCTGCCTTCTGAGATCGATGTGCGCCGGGACTACACCGTGAGTGGTGCCACAGCAGCACAAAGCCTGGAGGACCTAGAAAGAGCAGTGGCAGCCAGGCTCGAGGAAGCTCAAGCGCACAGCAAGGGCCAGGCACCCACTCCATGGCTAGGCCACTCTTCAAGGCCTGTCATGGGCTCTTGGAGAACCTGGTCATAGCTAGGACAGCGTATCCTGGATGACAGAGCAGTGCACAGGGCCACTGCTGGTGTTTAAATCGCAGTTCCTGAAGATGCTGAGCGGGGATACCCAGACAGATAGTCAGGCCCCTCTGTCTCTTCCTAGGTGTACTAGCCACTGTCACCTATTCCTGATATGGCGGAGAAGGGGGGTGGTGGCCAGTAGCTTAGGCTTGTTACTAACTAGCTCTTACAACGTCAAAGAACCCATATTTCTTCTCTATACCACGTGGCAGGCAGTACCTTTTACCCGCATGACACGCTCATCTCCTGCTTCTCCCCACACCTCCTTCTTCCCAGAGTTCTCTCAGTCTGGCTCTCCTGTCTTTACCTCTTCCTGCCTAGCTATTGGCCTTTTAACTGTTAAACCAATGAGAACAACACATCTTCACAGTGTACAAAGGGATTGTTCCACAAGAGCCCTGAGGTGCCAGTGAGGTTCCAGGTGTCTGGGGGTGGGAAATGGGGTCACAGCAACCCTGTGCTGCAGAGACCTTCTGGTTTTGAGACCATAGGCCAGTCTGGCCTTGAACTTGGGGCAGTCCTCTTGCCTCAGATTCCCAAGTGCTGTGATTATAGGCTGTGTCGTAATGCCTGGTTTACAGAGCCTTCCTTACCTCAGAGATGAGGAGCCTCGTGTGGGAAAACTGAAACCCCAGGGGCACTCCCCTTAGAAGGCCTTGACTTCCCTGAAGGGAATCTCTTTTCTGCCCACACTCAGGGTCAGAGGCCCTTGTGATAGGATCTGTGAGGGGTGTGTCCTGGGCTTCACCTGAAGCATCTCTCCCCCAGGGGATGATCTTGCAGATCTCAGGCAGCCTGCCCAGCCTCAGCGGTATGGAGATGACTTGTGACTATGGGAACAATGTCCGGACAGTGGCCCGGGTACCAGGCCCTGCCTATGACCATCAGATTGCCTACTGCAACCTCCTGCCCAGGGCCCAGTTTCCATCTTTTCCTGCTGGCCAGGGTGAGTGCCTGGCTGTGATGCCCGCCCAAGGGTGGGACCCTGACATCCCAGCTTGAGATGTGGATGAAGACCTTTTGTATCCCTGGTCTCTTTCCAGACCACGTGACTGTTGAGATGTCTGTAAGGGTCAAAGGACACAACATTGTCTCTGCTAATTTCACCATCTATGACTGCAGCCGGATTGGACAAGTCTACCCCCATACAGAGTGAGTGGGCAGGGGGAGGAGGAACAGCCCCTGCGTGGGGAACAGCTGCAGACTCTGGTACACTCAACAGACAGGACCCCCTACAACCTTCCCTTGCCTGTACCAGCTCTTACCAGCCAGGCCCTGCAAGCTGACACTAGACTGGTGGGGGAAGAGGTAACTGAAGAGTCCACCTGTGTTTTCCTTGCATCCCTCTCATAGTGGGGAGCTCACTACCTTACAAGATGACCCATCCGCCTCCTTCCCCTCCGACGCTGGGATCAGACTTCTGGGGCGTAGCTGAGGGTGGGGAGCAGGAGTCTGAGAGGTTCCCTTGTTTTCCAGCTGTACCAGCTGCCTGTCAACGCAGTGGCCTTGCTTCTGGTGCACCCAGCAGCACTCCTGTGTCTCTAATCAGTCTCGGTGTGAGAGCTCCCCAGACCCGATGGTAAGCCTTGTCTCTGGTCCACCCCGCATCCCTCGGGTCTACCCCCACCCCTCGGCTTCAGTACCCATTTCTCTTGTTTGTAAGGTTCCAACGTTGAGAGCTTCTCTTTGTCCCAGCATTGTCTAGCATGGCGAGGGGGCTCATCATGGCATGTTAAACTGATTCCCTGTGGCTAGACAGGCTGGTTGGTTTTTTCTTCCCCTGCCTTTGCATCTCACTGGATTACTCCTAGAAGGCCAGTTCTTAGAGATAATGCCTCAGGGTTACAGTGTGGCCTTCTGCAAAGCTCAAGTCAGGTTGTCACCCTGCCCTGCTCAGCATGCTGGCCGTTTCCACCCACGCTGCTAAGAGTGGAACGTTGCTATCCCATGTTTTCAGGTTTTTAGACACTTCAGGTCTTTGTCCCTGTGGCTTAGAAGGCTTGGGCCTTGAACCCAAATCCTTCTCCCCTTTCTTTGAAACCCAGAATTGGGTGCCTCCGTTTCTATGGTGTTTCACCTTTGCCCTGGAAGGCTCCTTCCTCTTTTAGGGGTGACCTAGACCTTGGCAGGTGAATGGCGGTGTCCTGAGCTCAGCCATGTTCCTCTTTGCATTATGTCGGGGCTGTGCACTCTGATAGGCTCAAATGTCTCCGGTGATCTACCAGATCAAGTCACTAGACTGCTGGTCATGTGTCTCAGAGAGGTGGCCTAGCTTCAGGCACTGGGATTAGAGAATGCCATCAAGCCCTGTCTGTCACCGAGGGGGGCACAAAAAGTGCTAAGAAGAATATGCCATGGCCTCAGTCAGACCCTCAGGACAGCCTTCAGCAGCAGGCAGCAACCACATCTGGCTCACAGCGTGCCCACAGAACAGGGGCTCTCGCTGATAGGCCCAGGGGCGACCTATAGCATTGGGTTTCGGGATATAATCCAGGTCCTTCATCCCTGTGGCTCTGGAGTTGGAGCATCTGGGCTATGGCATTTCCTCACCCACAACCCCAGGCTGCATACACAGCAAGGACTTAGTGACCTGGAGGTCCAGGGACCTCCTTACAGTCCAGCGACAATCACTGAGTGCTTGTTGTGTACATGAGTCTGTGCTAAGCACTGGGGGAAACCCAGTTAGATGTAGTTCTGTCCTTCCCGTCGCAGGCCAACAGCCTTAGCTCTCTTGTGTCTGTGTGATCCCAGGCAAGCAACCACGGCTTTCTGTTCCTTTCTCCTTCTGTAAAGTGACACCCCCCCACCAAGGCCTGGAATTACTCCCAGAGGCAACAACCTTATAGTTGGCACATAGGTGATCTTAGAAGCTGATGGCTACTGTGCAAGAAAGACTTCTCTTAAGAGAATTTTGCATGGGGTCTTGCCATCTGTATAGGAGCTCACCCACTGGGAGGTGTGTCTGCCCCTGGCAGTCAGCCTGCTCTCCTCAGGTCTTCAGCTCTCCCTTAGGGCAGGAGCCGGGCCGACCCTGGAGGGGCTGTCGTAGAGTATTACTGTAATCTGGCAGGAGAAGAGGCAGCCTCACCAAGGCCTGTGCGAGGCTCTGAACCAGTGCTGGACTTGGCATTTAATTAAGTGCCAGTTAGCTGTGGAGGCGCCAGGCCTCCTGGGCAGACAGTGAGCCGAGGGTCTGCATGCCCCCCCCCGGGACCCCTGGATCCTGGAAGGGGGGCGCTGAAGGCTGTGCTTGCAGTCCTGTGTGTGGTCCCAGTGGCTCCCACAGGGAGGCTGCTAGGGCTGGCCCCAGGGATGAGCAGAGGCAGCGAGCTGCCAGGTGTTCCAGGCTGATAGCGCCTCTCCGAGGGCGGTGCTCCCAGGGCGGTGCTCCCAGGGCGGTGCTCCCAGGGCGGTGTGATGTCAGGTTTTGGAAGTGGGATGGGAAGTGGTAGCTGGATGAGAGCCTGGCGTGTTTCAAACCACAGGGTGGCACAGTGCTGGAGCCCGTGACCGGGTAGTTGGATGGGAATTGACAGGCATCAGCGACTGTGGGCTGGGCCACAGCCAGTGGCTTGGTCAGTGGGTCCATCACTGCTGGCTGGGATGGGCTGCCAGGGCTTGTTCTGGGTACTCTTGTGACTCCATTCTCCAATGGCACATTTGGGATCCTGGCCACCTAGCTTTGTTCCCTGGCAGTTCCAGCCAGGCAAGGAGAGGCTCAGTGCCAACCTACATGAACTAGAGTAGGTTCTGCACACACCTACATGATGGTAGTTCCTGAGCCCTCCCACTCATCCCTGCTCTAGGTACAGCCAGCTACAGCTTCCCAAGCTTGCAGGTCGGGGCAGCAAAGGGGAAAAACCATCTGATGGCCTGGGTGGAAACAGGAAAGGGAGGCCCATGTCCTCTTTCAGAGGAAAACCCAGATGGCTTCTGGTCCTTGGACTTTTATCAGCTAATGCTAGTGAACAGTCAGAAGGTTGGTTCACTTCGGGACCTTCTGAACCTCTGGGGGATGCCACGTTCAGGCTCTTCGTTCTTGGTGCCACATGTTCTCAGCAGCCGGCGCTGTTTGGGGACCCCTCCCACCCAGTCTAGGGAGCTGGACAATGTCCTTTCCAGTTCCACCGGAGTTGTATTGAGACTGTCCAGTTACAGGACCCAGATCTACCTCGTGGATGGTTCTCAGGCCAGGTGGGCTTAAGGGTCTAGGTCAGTCTCATCATGATGAGCCTGTTGAGGGCTGGTCCAGGTCAGACCAGCCTCAGAGGCAGATGGTGGGGCCGAGAGGCCACGGGTAGACCTGGGGGACTGCCGGCAGGGGTGTGGGGTTTTGGAGGGGGGGTCAGGATTCAGCCCAGGCCACAGACCTTCTACATAAAGTGGCTCTGCTCATCTTGGTGGGCTGGATTATAAGAAGTCAGAGGGAGCAGGTGACTCTTAAGGGGACCTCGTGTGTTCACTGGAAGGCCTCCAAAGCCCTGTCTGGGGTAAGTTGCTTTCCTCCTCTGTGACTCAATTTCTTCATCTCCAAAATGGAAACAGGGTTCTCTGGTTCCCACATAGTATGTGAAATGTCCCATGGCTGCCCACCTGTATGTAATCTCAGCACCGAGGAGGCTGAAGCAGGAAAAGGCAAATTTGAGGCCGGCTTGGATCATGTGGCAAGCACACGGTGTGTGGAAGATGGGGTTGCTGGTGGATGTGGTGGCCCACCTGTGACCTAGTCCTTGAGACCAGCCTGTCTGAATAACCTAGTGAGACCCTGTGTCAAAAGAGAGATGGGGTCAGAGGAGAAGAGAAGGAGGAGGAGAGGGAAAGAACAGAGGAAAAACTGCCCCAGGAGAAGGGGGCCTTGTCGAGAGGATGATTTCAAGTGCACACACAGGCTGATAGTCCCTCCCAGCCCTGTCCTACCCTAATCCTTGCCTTGCCAGATGTGGCCAAGAGGTCCTTGGCTATAAGGTCTTTGTGGTCCCAGGGTGCATGACCGACCTGGGCTCTGTGACTTCTGGCCCCAGTAGGTCAGATGTTGAGATGTGAATACATAGGACTCTGAGGCTCCAGCACAGATCTGGTCCCCAACATCCTGCTCAGAGGAATGTGAAGAATGTGTGGCCACAGCCCTTGCCTTCTCTGCTCTAGTTTCTTCTGCACAGTGGGGTATGGTTCCTAAGAGCCACGAGGGCAGTGTCAGACCTGGCCCAGTGTCCTGGGAGGCTGAGTCCCAAAGACCCAGCCACCAAGAGCTCTCCACCCCGATAGCCAGTCACTGCGTCTGAGGAGCACATCCAGGAGGCAGACTCCACCTAGATGGAACATTCTGCCTCTGCTTCTGTTTTCTGGTCTGAAAGCAGGGTGCAGGCTCTGCTGTGGAGGCTGCTGGAAGAACTGTGTGTAACATCCTGTTTGACCCCCTTCTGTTTGGTCTGCAGAATCCTCAGGACTGTCCCCAGATCCTGCCTTCGCCCCTGGCACCCGTGCCAACAGGTGGCTCCCAGGACATCCTGGTGCCTCTCACTAATGCTGCCTTCTTCCATGTAAGTAGAAGCTGAGCAAAGTCTGTCCCAGCATCCAGAATGGTGGCCCTGCTTTTCTCTCTGAGCCCCACTCCAGCTGTGTAAGACATGGCACAGGAAGACCAGGCTGATGGGGGACAGCAGACAATCAGCAGCTGCCAAGGGAACCCTGGCCACACCCCAGTATTCCTGCCCTGGAGGCTCCCTGGCATAGTGGCCCAGCCCCCTGCCTAGTACCACAGTCCACTGGTAGATGAGGTCCATGTGGGCTCTGTCTGTCCCGCCCAGGCTGAGCAAGACCCTGGGTGCTCTAAGCTCTGTGGAACATACTGACCCAGTTCAAGGCTCCCATGTCTTTCCCAAGGATGGCCAGAAGAGGCCATGCTCCTAATTCCTAAGGTCTAGAGGGGACACCACTGAGGGAGGAAGTGGTGCTTGGGGAGGGGATGTGGCCATCACTTACCCCCCCTCCCGGAGGAATGTGGCAGAGGGGGGTTGATGAGTTTTGGAAGGATGCCAGCCTCCCTAATTCCTGGGACATGCCATCTGTCACTGAAACGCGGGAGTTGAGGCCCGCGACAGTTGTCACACATGGGGGCCACGTGCCAGGCATCTGGGATGTGTCAGGGAGCCCCTTATAGGGTAAGAGTTCTTGAGGGCCAGAGTGGAGCTGCTCTCCACTCAGAGGCCTACTGTGCCAGGGCCTGGTGGGTCACAGGAGCAGGGTGGGGAGGCTGTAGCCCCAATTCGGCCCTGGCTGATTCTCTCCAGCTGTGTGGCTCTTGGCGCATTTACTGCTTTTACCAGTCACAGGACTCCCCAGCTCCTTGCCTGACGATGCTTCTAGAGCGGCTGGAGGCCTGGATGCTGGGCAGCACTGCTACAGACTACTCAGCCATGTCCTCGGAGAGGGGACCCAGTTGTGATTCTGCACACTGGGAATAGACCAACATTTGGCCCTGTCAGCAGCTTCTTTCCTGTGTTAGCTTCCGGCTAGGACCCCAGGAAGAAGAGGTTGTCCTGCTTTTTTTTCTCAGGGAGTCCTATCTGCCAACAGTAGGAACATAAACAGGAAGTCCTGGCACATGGCTCTGGGGTCTTAGTCTGTTGTCACCCAGCAAATATTTATTGGCACTGCTCTAGAGGGAGCAGGTTGAGACTGAGGAATTGGACCCTGCTTCATGTGTTAGCATTTATTGCGCACTTCCTGCATACCATCCATAGCAAAGCACACATTAGACACCTGTATACATAAGCCACTAAAACATAGGGTCTGTACTTTGCCCAGAAGACCTATTCACATAATGTACAGTTAAGAAAACCAAGGCTCAGAGAAGCAGAGCAACTGCATGAGGCCACATAAGGAATAAGCAAAGGCGGGATTTAAAGCTAGGCACATGGGAGGTTGGGCCTGAGCTTTCCACAACTTCTGCTGCTTGTAAGGGTGTGTAAAGGGCCTTATGGTCAGCTAGGACCTTCCTGGTGGGTAAGGAGACATGTGGAAACAGAACACTTGCAGGACAGGGCAGGCTTTGGGAGCAGAACAGGTCCCTCAGTGTGCATCCCCTTGCTGTTGAGGGCAGGATTGTGTATGGGGTGTCCTGATCCAAGGGGGCCTAGGGGAACCAGGCTCTCTGCAGCTGGAATTTGGACACTGGTGATTCTCACTGATGGCAAGGAAGAGACCGGCCCATGCAGAAGCCCTGGCACATGCCACCCGGAGATTGACGGGGTGTCTAGGGTTTAGCTTTGCAGGGCAGAGACCAGAGACTCAGTCTAAGGGGCAGACAAGGTCTCCTGGAGCTAGGGCGTCAGGAACTGGTTTAGGACACTGGAGGTGACAGGGAGACTGTCAGTGTCATAGACCAGAGTCCTCAGTGTCTGCAGCCCCTGACTTGATGACCAGGGAGGAGATTCTGGGGGCAAAAGGCTGGTGGAGTCCCTAGCCCTCCTGTCAGGGTGGCAGCTGCCATGTTCTGAGAGGTCTGAGGGATGGGTGCTGTAAAGCCTCTGCCCTCTGTCTGTAGGGTACCTCCCTGGAGTGCAGCTTTGGCCTGGAAGAGAGTTTCGAGGCTGTGTGGATAAATGACTCGCTGGTACGCTGCAACCAAGTGGTGGTAAGTGGCAGGAGCCCAGCAGGGCACAGAAGAGACCTGCTCGGCCTCCTTTCTTCCTCTCTCTACGTGCCTCTGCTTTTTGGTTTCCCCCCCTTCCCCTGCCCTGGTCCATCTTGGTGACACCCTTGACCCCACAGGAGACCCAGACCCCACCCTTGCCTTTCATACTTCCTCATTTTGCAGCTGCACACGACCCAGAAGAGCCAGGTGTTTCCACTTAGCCTGAAACTGAAGGGGCCTCCAGACAGATTCCTAGATAGCCCTAACCCCATGACAGGTGAGTGTCCCCCCTGTCCCACTGGTCATTGGAGGCATCCAGCTTTGGGGGCTCCCCTGGGCAGCCACAAACTTTATACCCCGTAAGTGCCCAAACATCCACTGAGACTCTTGAGCCAGCCGTTCTGCGGTGGCCAGCCTTAGACCAGAGGCCATGTCACCTCCAGGCCCTTATTTCCCTCTCTGAGCCCTGTTTTCCTGTGTCTAGTGAGGCCACAAGCCTTTACTGAAAGACTGACCAGGAATCAGTGAGCCCTTGAAGAGAAGCAATGTTGATGAAACTGGGGGCTGGACACAGGGCTGCACAGTTAGAAGCTGGCCAAGAACGTTAAGGGTGCTGACCCCGGAGTTGCCTCGCTTCAGGCTGACCATGCTGTCCTGTGTCCACAGTTGTGGTCTACAATTGTGCTATGGGCAGCCCTGACTGTTCCCAGTGCCTGGGCCGTGAGGACCTGGGTCACCTCTGTGTTTGGAATGATGGCTGTCGCCTGAGAGGGCCCCTGCGGCCAGTCCCCGGCACCTGCCCAGCCCCTGAGATACGAGCGGTAAGCACATGCCATGCCAGGCATTGCTGACACACATAGCACTCTTGACTCATAGGTCGCCTCCTGCGGCTACTGTTTTAATAGGGGACGGTCACTGGGAGGTGGGAGGTGGGGCCTTTGACCATTGACTTTTCACAGAAACCCAGGAACCCATCCTGGTGGCAGTTGAGATTTCCAGGAACTCACCAGCCTGATTTAGTTAAGAAAAGTCTCAGGGAACGATTTTGACTGGCTTAGCCTAGGTCAAAAGTGCCCACCCCTAGACCAATGAGTGTCTGGCTTAGATGCTGAATTCTGTGGTCAGGCATGGCCACCAAGAGCCCCATGGCGTCTTCAGGCCCATTCACCGGTTGTCCCAGCCCTCTGAACCCTCTGAGGCTCCTTGTCCTCTGCTGGGTCTGTGACCTCTTGTGGGCACATACGACAGTCAGAGGGACACCGTGGTTCCCCGGCAGATCGAGCCTCTGAGTGGCCCCTTGGACGGCGGGACTTTGCTGACCATCCGCGGCAGGAACCTAGGCCGCCGGTTCAGTGATGTGGCCCACGGTGTGTGGATTGGCAGTGTACCCTGTGAACCCCTGGCTGACAGATACACAGTTTCAGAGGAGTGAGTGTCAGGCATGCCAACCTAACCCTCACCCCGCCCCCACAATGGCACATTGCAATGACTGGGCCTCCCTCTGTCTCTGCCTGGGCCACTCCTCTCTCCTGCTAGCACTCTGATGCCTCTTCTGAGAAGCCCTCTGGGCTTTCCCTGACACATCCGTCTTGCTCTGATGAGAACTACTTGATACTAGTAAAGTTTGGGGGGCTCTGATGGGGTATAAAAATCGGGTGCAGCTGGGCCCAAAGGCCTCTGGGGACTTCTGCAAGCAGGAAATTAGCGGGACTTCCTGTTGGAAGGCTCTGACCCAGGCTTGCCGAGAATGGCAACAGGTGGCTAACCCAGACTAGCTGGGCAAACTGCCTGGTGTGGGGGAAACAGTGGACTGGTGTGTCCCTGCTTGGCCAACCCTAGGGTGACCACTGCCTGTGGGGAACACTGTTGGGTGGGCATTCTGGCGTGAGTGGGAGGCAGGCCCCATGGGCAGACACAGGTACTGGCTCACCTTCCGCCCACATGCCTGCCTGTCCTCAGGATCGTGTGTGCCACAGGGCCCGCACCAGGGGTCTTCTCAGACGTGGTAACCGTGAACGCCTCCAAGGAGGGCAGGTCGCGGGAACACTTCTCCTATGTGGTAAGTAGGCAACCACCACCTGCCATCCAGCTCGCTCCCCACAAGCCTGCGGCTAGAGCCTGACCCCTTTGCTTCTCCCCAGCTACCCGTGGTCCACTCCCTGGAGCCTGCCCTGGGTCCTAAGGCAGGGGGCACCAGGATCACTATTCACGGCAGTGACCTCCATGTAGGCTCTATGCTCCAGGTCCTGGTGAATGACACAGACCCCTGCACGGATCTTACGTAAGCCATGCCCACAGTCTGGCAGCTGGGAGGTGGGTGACCCCCTCCATAGGTATCATCCGGGTATGCCTAGCTTTTTCCCCTCTTGGCTTGGAGTGGATGTGGGAAGGAGAAACTGGGCAGAAGTGGCAGAAGACAAGGCCAGGGTACGTGCAGTGGGTGAGCAACTGGAAAGGGCCACACTGAGGTCATCCGCTCGTCACTCCCCATAGGCGCACGGCCACCAGCATCACCTGCACTGTGCCTCGAGGGACCCTGCCCACTCTAGTGCCTGTGTGTGTGCGCTTTGAGAGCCGGGGCTGCGTGCATGGAAACCTTACCTTCTGGTACATGCAGAACCCAGTCATCACTGCCATCCGGCCAGGCCGCAGCCCTGTCAGGTGAGATCCAGACCCACCCACGCCCACTGTGTCTCACTGTCCGGGCTGCGGGGAGCCTGACAAGTCTTGCTGTCCCCTCAGCGGTGGCAGGACCATCACTGTGGCTGGCGAGCGCTTCCACATGGTACAGAACGTATCAATGGCAGTACACCACATCGGCCGGGAGCCCACGGTGAGGGGGCAGGGTAGATGGGGGTGAGGGGCTGGGAGCCGAGGTTGTCCCGTGCAGCCAGCTTATGTCTGTTCCTCTTGACCTCTCCATCTCCCCCCTTTACCCTCATCCTTCAATTTTCCACCCTCGTGGGTTCATCCTACCCAGTTCTGCAAGGTTCTCAACTCCACACTCATCACCTGCCCATCTCCTGGAGCCCTGAGCAATGCTTCAGCGCCCGTAGACTTCTTCATCAATGGCCGGACGTATACAGATGAAGCGGCTGAGGAGCTGCTGGACCCTGCAGAGGCACAGAGGGGCAGCCGGTTCCGTCTGGACTACCTCCCCAATCCACAGTTCTCCACAGCCAAGAGGGAGAAGTGGATCAAGCATCACCCAGGGGAGCCGCTCACCCTAGTCATCCATGTGAGCACCTGGCTGGGAGGCTGGGTAATGGGAGCCGGGGGCAGCTGACCTGGGAACCCCACCCCCATCCCAGCATCCCATGTATACCCACAGAAGGAGCAAGACAGCCTAGGGCTCGAGAGCCATGAGTACCACATCAAGATTGGCCAGGTGTCCTGCGACATCCAGATCGTCTCAGACAGAGTCATCCACTGCTCAGTCAATGAGTCTCTGGGCACAGCTGAGGGACAGCTGCCCATCACAGTGAGTGGGCGGGGCTCTGGAAGTGGGCAGGCCTGGCTTCTGGGTACAGAGGTCACTGAGTATTTTCATACCCAGTAACTTAGGTCTCCGCAAAGCAGAGCTTTATACCCTGACTTGACAGATGGAGAAACTGAGACCCAAGTCATTAGTTGGCACCAGAAGCCATTAAAAAGTTGCTCCTGCCTGTTTTGGTGTCCCACCTAGAGTGTGTCCTGTCCACAGCCTGTCTCTGTGTAGCATCATGGAGTAGAGCAGAGACAGTCTGGAGGGGCGGGACGGGGCAGGGATGGCTTTTAGGTATTGCTGTACTGTGTCTGTCTACCTCCTGCTGAGTTACCCCTCACTTGTTTCCAAGACGACAGCCAGACTGCATGAGCTTCCCTGTGACCTCTCCTAGGCTGTTGTCATCACAGCCCTGTGTTGATTTGGCCTCTCTGCCAAACGCTGGATCTCAGTTTAATCAGGAGGTCACACAGCTAGTGAGAAGAGCTGAGGCACAGCTCTGGCAAAGCCTGATGTGCCACCCCACTGTGCACAGATCCAGGTGGGGAACTTCAACCAGACCATCGCCACACTGCAGCTGGGGGGCAGCGAGACAGCCATCGTCGTGTCCATTGTCATCTGCAGTGTCCTGTTGCTGCTCTCTGTGGTTGGTAAGTCTCCTGCGCGAGAGAGAGTCGGGAGGGCATCTGTGAGTCCCTGAGAGTGGGTAAGGAGTGGGCACAATTAGAAGGTGGCAGATATTGGTCAGACCTTCTGTACTCAGACCGAAATTGGCTTTGGATACAAGGCAGAGGAATTTGGAGGCTGTTGTAGAGAGGTTGCTCAGGGGAAATGATCCTGTGTGTTAAAGCAATGTGTGCAACATGGCAGAGAGAGCAGAGCCTCTCTGTTCTGCTGGGTGGGGGGACAAAGGTACGCTTTCCTTGGGAAATGGCCTGTCAGTTCCTAACAGCTGGCCCAGTAATCTACACTTGATACCTACCCAAGAGCAAGGAAAATATGCCCACATAAAATCTTATACGCAGATGTCCGTAGCAATATTACTTATAATAATTAAGAGGTCACAACAGCCCAATGGCCATCTAATGCTAAGTGTGTAATAAAATGTGGTATATCCATACAATGGAGTTGTCAGCCATGAAAAGGAATATTCCACAGCATAGATGGGCCTTGAAAACAAGGACAATGAAAAAGATAGACACAAGAGAGGTTACATATTGCCCAACTGTTTACTTGAAGGAGACAGAACAGGCAAATCCATAGAGACAGAATGATTAGTGGCTATCTGGGAGAGGGGGGAGGTGGGGAGAAATACTTACAGGGTAAGGGTCTCCCTTGGACAGTGAGAATATTCTAACATTGGGTAACTCTGATGGTTACGTGACACGTGGTTAGGCTCAGACACCCTGGTGTGCAAACGGATGGGTTACACAGTCTGTGTGTGCATTTGGAGGCCAGAGGTGGGGTACCTCAGTGGCTGTCCTCTAGATTTGGAGACAGGATCTCTCACTGGGACCTGGAGCTCACTGACTTCACCTGGCTTGCAGGCCAGCGAGCCCCAGGCATCCACCTTTCTCTTCTCTGCCTTCCCTGCACTCAAATGTCTGGCTCATGCCGCCATGCCCTACTTTTTATATGAGTTCTGGGGATCAGTCCCGGGTCCTCATATTTGCACAAGTTTTTTTGCCAAGATTTTTTTTTTTGCCATCACTTGTGCAAATAGTAATAGTAATATAAATTACTCTATCCAATATAAAAAAGTATCAGGGAAAGCAAGAAGATGAACACTAGATATATTGTTCCTAAAAATACTACCCATAATACTTCTCTATATACCAATGGATACGCCATGCCTCACAGGACAGGCAGGTACTGTGTACTGCTTTGAAAAGTTGAACTCCCAAGGCACATCGGGGCAGAAGAAACAAATTGCCCATAATTCTTCTGCTCAGAGAAAGGCCCTGGTGACTGCACTTTGACACATTTCTCTTTCTAAGAAAAGTCATCAAGGGTTGTCCAGCCCTGAGTTGTCGGGGGAGGGACAAAGGGCAGAGGGACTGAGGATGACACCTGCTTGCTCCTGCCCAGAGACACTGAGGCCCGTGGGTAGACCCTGTCCTTCCAGGCCCACAGCCTGCCTTAGCAGGTTCCCGTTGACACCTTTTCATGGGCCCTGGGAACCTGAATCGCCCCTCTGCTGTCCACAGCTCTGTTCGTCTTCTGCACCAAGAGCCGCCGTGCCGAGCGCTACTGGCAGAAGACGCTGCTGCAGATGGAAGAGATGGAGTCTCAGATCCGCGAGGAGATTCGCAAAGGTGGGTAGCGGGGTCAGGTGGCGCTGCACCTGACTGGGCAGGATCACTCACAGCTGCTGGTCTGTCTCACAGGCTTTGCAGAGCTGCAGACAGACATGACGGATCTCACCAAGGAGCTGAACCGTAGCCAGGGCATCCCCTTCTTGGAATACAAGCACTTTGTGACTCGTACCTTCTTCCCCAAGGTACACACCCTCCAACGTGCGTTGGTCATCACAGGGAGTTTGAATCGAGGCACCTTTGTGGGGCCTGCACTCCTGCCCATAGCCACCCGGGTTCCTTTTCTCATGTTTAGCTTTCTATGTGGAAGACTGCTGTCATGTCCCCCTGTTGACTTCCCCATCCCCACACCGAGGGAGCTGAGTAGGGAAACAAGGACTCTCCCAGGTCCTGGCCAGATGTCCCGGCCTCCACGTGCCCGTTTCATCTTGATGGTCCAGGGTCCATGGGCAGTAAGCCCCCTGTGCAATAAATAGTCCAAGGGAGCACCCGGCTCCACCATTTCAGGAACTCCTCCCCCCAGCTTTTCCCAACCATAGAGCATAGCAGCCTGCCTCCATCTCCCCCACTGCACCGACTCAGTGACTTTGCTTTGCCCTTGAGCCTCCGATCCCTTGCTGTGCTACACAGTGATTTGTGCCCCTCTAGGGAGCCCGGGTCCCTTGGCCACCATGTGGCCCTGCCACTCTCCCCCATGTGTGGGTGACCCAGGTGCCTGCCAGTCTGCCTTGCTAAAGCCCTGGCTTCTCTCCGCAGTGTTCTTCCCTCTATGAAGAGCGGTATGTGCTACCCTCGCAGACCCTCAACTCCCAAGGCAACACCCCGCCACAGGAAACCCACCCGCTGCTGGGAGAGTGGAACGTGAGTGCCCGGCCCCAAGGGCCTGCACCCAATGATCCAAATCATTAGAAGGTGGACAGTCCTCCCTTCTGAGAGGCATTCAAGCATCCGTTCAGGAGTACTGGTCCCTGAGGCCAGGCAGAGAGCCTGGGCGTATGATCTCATGCCCAGGAAAGTGGCACAGAGAGGGCATGTTGGGTTCCCTACAGCCATCGTTGCCCCTCTGGGGCCTCCTGGGATGCAGAGCACCAGTTTTTCCTTCCATGTCCACAGATCCCGGAACACTGTCGGCCCAGCATGGAGGAGGGGATCAGCTTGTTCTCCTCCCTGCTCAACAACAAGCACTTCCTTATCATCTTTGTCCACGCCCTGGAGCAGCAGAAGGACTTCGCTGTGCGGGACAGGTGAGGGAGGCTATGGGAGATGCAGGGACATGGGTCCCCAGCCAACCCCACATCCCCGGGGCAGCTGTTACCCACTGAAAATCAAGTTGCAGGCCCCGAGACTCCGAGGAATTCCTCATTGCTTTACAATTTGTGGGAGCCTCCACCGAGGGCCACCTGGGTCCAGCAAGGAGGTGGCTCAGCCTTACACTCCGTGCCTGCAGGTGCAGCCTGGCGTCACTGCTGACCATTGCACTGCACGGCAAGCTGGAGTACTACACAAGCATCATGAAGGAGCTGCTGGTGGACCTCATCGATGCCTCAGCGGCCAAGAACCCCAAGCTCATGCTGCGGCGCACCGAGTCAGTGGTAGAGAAAATGCTTACCAACTGGATGTCCATCTGCATGTATGGCTGCCTGAGGGTAAGCCCACTCCACCCCCCATACACCCCCACCCCGAAGCTCCGCCCCTGCAGGCAAACCTAATTTCATTAAGGTGTTGGGGTGGGTGCCTTTTCAACGGGACCCCTTTGGGCAGGTGGGGAAATGGAAGCTTGGAGAAGATCTGGCTGGCTAGCTTGCTCCAAGAGCACATAGCATTCTCAGGCAGACAGAGGCTGGTAGGTCTTCTTGTCCCTTAGCCTTAGTCCTCAAGCCCTCCTTGGGGAGCAGTATTTGGAGTTCAGGCCCCTGCATTCCTGAGCCTTCCTTTCCTTAGGGAAGAGGGGGGACACAGAAGCAAGACTTTAAGGATTGAGCAGCTGCCGTAGAGCAGAGCTTAGTCAGTCTGACTGATGACTGTTTGGAAAAGCCAGGAGGGTTTCCTGAAGCAGGTGACTCACCCTGAGCCCTGAGGGTTCAGTGGGAAGGAGCCAAGGGGTCAAGGCCAAGTGAGTAGCCCAGGGCCAAGATCAGGAGAGGAAGCTTTAGGGAGCCAGGGCTTCTCTCTGGAGTTAGGACATCACAAAGAACAACCCGAGGGCCTGCCCCAGGATCCAACTACCCTGTGGTGGCAAAGGTCCAAGGGTCGCCTAGGCATCCTTCAAGAAAGGCAAAGGCCTGGACAGGACCCAGAACCAGAACCTTAACTGTTCTGGGCTTGTGACTGGTCGCTGGAACAACCTAGCTGTGTGGTTCTGGGCAAGTTATTACCCTCTCTGGACTTTAGTTTCGTTTTGTCAAATGAGAGACCCCAGCCTAGGAGCCCTGTGGATCATCCTGGGACAGTTAGAGAATAGAAGGGAAATGGAGACACTAGGAGAGAAGACGCATTCAGAGCCACTGCGGGTGACCTTCGCCTGGCCTTCCTCCGTCAGATTATGGGGTGCTGGTGACTCCCAGGCCAAACCACTACAGCAGGAAGCAGGGCTGGCAGCTGCCTTGGCACTGCCGCCAAAGCAGTCTGGTACTATGACAAACTCATTTTCCCTCCAAGCCTATTCACCATGGCAAAGGTCAGCTTGAGGCTGCGGTGGTGGTGATGGTGGTGGTGGTAGGAGGTAGGCTGTGAAACCTGACTGGGCTGACACTCCCTAGAAGCATCCATCTTGGGTTTCCCCCGAGGCTTCTTCTGGGTCCTGGGTCCACTCAGCCGTACCTGAGCACATTCCAGCTTTGTAGGAAGACTCAGGCATAGGAGTCCAGAGTTCAAGTTTTACTTCTGCCTTCTGTGCGGCGCTGGACAGGGTGTTTGCCCTCTCTGAGCCTCAGTGAGGATGGCTGGTCCCTGGATGTGTGGCTAGGATGCAGGGGAGACACTCCAGAGAGGGTGTGGGTGTCGACATCCACCTGAGAGGGGATGGGGAGTATGTGGCACACTTGCGGACCAGAGCTTAGAGCCTGGAACACAGAGGAGATAGCGGTGCCATGAGTCCTGACCCTCAACCCTCACGCTCACAGGAGACAGTGGGTGAGCCCTTCTTCCTGCTGCTGTGCGCCATCAAGCAGCAGATCAACAAAGGCTCCATCGACGCCATCACAGGCAAAGCCCGCTACACGCTCAATGAGGAGTGGCTGCTGAGGGAAAACATCGAGGCCAAGCCCCGGGTGAGCCAGGGCCAGGGCCAGGGCCAGGGCCAGGGCACTGGTCCACTAGTGGGTGGGTGTTCTTAGCTGGGCTGTCCTGGTCACCAGACCTGATGATGACGATGGCCCTTTGCCGCTGCCCCCTCTCTCGTGCAGAACCTGAACGTGTCCTTCCAGGGCTGTGGTATGGATTCTCTGAGCGTGCGGGCCATGGACACCGACACCCTGACGCAGGTGAAGGAGAAGATCCTGGAAGCCTTCTGCAAGAATGTACCCTACTCACAGTGGCCGCGGGCGGAGGACGTGGACCTCGGTGGGCAAGGGCAGGCGCCGTGCCTGGCTGCTGGCCGCTGCAGCCTCTTTCCCCGTGTTAGTCGAGGCCCTGGAGTTCCCCTTAAGGAAGAATTTTTTGTTCTGCAGCTGTGGGCAACAGCAAGGGAGCGATCAAGAAATGCTCCTCGAAGAGGGCTTGGGGGGCTGGGATCTGAAGGATGTGTAGGAGTCACAGACCACTTACCAGAAACCGTTCCTAAAAGTTCACGCTGCACCAGGCCCTGCCTGGGCTCTAACTCCGGACAGTTAGGGTCAACAGCTGGGCTCCCAAAGGGGTGTGGCCTGCTTTGATTCCAGAAGGAGAAGGGGAAGCTTCTGTGGCCCAGACTAATGGCTGCCCCTGGGGCCACCCACTTCCCTAGCCCTGATGCCCCTTTTCTCCTCCAGAATGGTTTGCCTCGAGCACCCAGAGCTAGGCCTGCTTTGATTCCAAAAGGAGAAGGGGAAGCTTCTGTGGCCCAGGCTAATGGCTGCCCCTGGGGCCACCCACTTCCCTAGCCCTGATGCCCCTTTTCTCCTCCAGAATGGTTTGCCTCGAGCACCCAGAGCTATGTCCTGCGGGACCTGGATGACACCTCAGTGGTGGAGGACGGCCGCAAGAAACTGAACACGCTGGCCCACTACAAGGTGCCCAACCTGACCAAGCCACCCCGTCCCCTCTCCTCTCTGACCTCTGATCTCTGACCTCACCTCTCCTCCGTCAGATTCCTGAGGGTGCCTCCCTAGCCATGAGCCTCACAGACAAGAAGGACAACACCCTGGGCCGAGGTAGGGCTTGGAGCTGGGGAAGGGATCCAGGTGGGTGTGAGGGAGGTACCTTTCTGGGATCCTTCTGAGCGGTGCTGGGGGAACTGAGGCTTGCAGGGAGAGGGGGGGAGCTTTACCTCCATGCTGTATCAAAACTGATTGCTTCCAGCAGCTAGAGCAAAGCCCCAGGAGGCCCCAACCATGCCCAGGTCCAAGCTGGCTGCTATGGCCCTTTGCTTCCAGGCCACGTCCTCACATGCCCCAGGCCCAGATCCTGGGGAGGGGGGTTCCCAGGGTTCCCCCATGAGGTGAAAAAGTCAGATCTTGGCTCTCCATCTCTCTACAACTTGTTCTCTGGGCATCTCTCTCTCTCTCTGCCCCCTCTTCCCCCACCCATTCGGGTTGCATCTCTCTCTCTCTCTCCCCCTCTTCCCCCACCCACTCGGGTTGCATCTCTCTCTCCCCCTCTTCCCCCACCCACTCGGGTTGCATCTCTCTCTCCCCCTCTTCCCCCACCCACTCGGGTTGCCCTCCCCTCCCCCTCATTTGTTTATTGTGTGTTTCCCCTTTGCAGTAAAAGACTTGGACACAGAAAAGTATTTCCATTTGGTGAGTGCCCGGCCTCAGACCCTGGGGAGCTGGCTTTGCTGGGCGTGGCTTTGGCTTAGTGCCTCCTGGAGCCTCCAGGAAAGTGCTCCTAGGCCCTGGGAAAAGCCAGAGTGGGTGAGGGAATGGGTGGGCCCAGGGGCTGGGATCACAGGTCAGACTCCATGGGAGAATTGAGGCGAGTGCCTGGGAAGGGTACCAACCCTGCCCATCTTGCAGGTGCTGCCCACAGATGAGCTGGTAGAGCCCAAGAAGTCCCACCGGCAGAGCCACCGCAAGAAGGTGTTGCCAGAGATCTACCTGACCCGCCTGCTCTCTACCAAGGTGGGCTCCACCTCAGTCTCCACCCCTGTAGGGGCTTGAAGGGGGCCCTGTGCTCTAAGAAGAAGTCTGTGTATTCTTCCTGCCACCCAGTAGCAAAGGACCCAGGGGCACTTTCATATCCTCAGGTCGAAAGACTCAGGCCAGCACCCAGAGCCCACATCCTGACCCTGTCCCCATGCCTCAGGGTCTTGATGAGCACTCCCACTCCTCCAAGAAAGTGTCATGGACAAATCACAGTCAAGACTCTTGAGGCTGGGGGTGGGGTGGCTGGAGAGATGGCTCAGCAGTTAAGAGCACTGACTGCTCTTCCAGAAAACACAGGTTCAATTCCCAGCACCCACATGGCAACTCACACCTGTCTGTAACTCCAGTTCCAGGGGATCTGACACCTTTACAGACATATTGTCAGGCAAAACACCAGTGCACATAAAATAAAAAGATGCTCTGAGGTTGGGCTAATGCCCACGTCTTCCCTGCAGGGCACACTGCAGAAGTTCCTGGATGACCTGTTCAAAGCTATCCTGAGCATCCGCGAGGACAAGCCCCCCCTGGCCGTCAAGTACTTCTTCGACTTCCTGGAGGAGCAGGCTGAGAAGAGAGGCATCTCTGACCCTGACACCTTGCACATCTGGAAGACCAACAGGTGGCGGCCTTGGGGTGGGGCACAGATGATGTGATGGCATCGGGGTAGGCAGGGCACCAAGAAGCAGAGTCTGGCTTGGGTGAGAGACTTGGCTCTCTGTGCTGCAGTTTCCCCTCTGTAAAACCAGCAAGCATCCTATGTGCTTGCCCCCATCATACCGAGGGAAGCCAAGGCCCTTAGAGCAGCAGCCATCCAGGCCCAAGGTCGCACAGCCTGGGGAATGGCAGTATACACGCAGCTCTGACTCATACACCTAGTTCGTAGCTTCTTCTGAGGCCCATCTTAGCTTTTTGAGGGGGGTTACATACCCCACCAAGAAGGACCCAAAACTCTCAGCCTGACCCTCAGAGAAATGCCGGTGCAACTTTAGTTGCTGTTTTCTCCCTGCTCAGGGGAGCAGGCACCCCAGGCTCTGCAGGACTGAGAAGGGGGTTGTCCCCAACCCCCTCTGGCCTCCTGAGGACAGTCAGCCCTGCCTTCTGCGTGCAAGGCCGAGTGGGGGAGGAGTCTGGACTCAGGCCGCAGGGTGGGGGCTTCTAATGAGAACCAGGAGTCTAGCTTGCTAGCTAGGGGAGGGAGGCTCTTTGGGATGAGGGTTGTCTCTAGCTGGCAGGGGAAGGGCGAGGTGCCCAGAAGCTGCAGGGGCTATAAGAATCAGCATTGTTGACCTCCAAAACCCCCCACTGAGCTCCTGCACCCCCATTATCCCTGCCCCACAGCCTTCCCCTCCGCTTCTGGGTGAACATCTTAAAAAACCCTCAGTTTGTCTTCGACATAGAGAAGACAGACCACATCGATGCCTGCCTGTCTGTCATCGCGCAGGCCTTCATCGATGCCTGCTCCATCTCTGACCTCCAGCTAGGCAAGGTTAGTTATTCCGGCTACTCCTGAGGAGGGGAAGGGGCTTGCCTGAATCTGAATCATTTAAGGTAGGCAGGGAGTGGGTGGCAGACCAGAGGGAGCCCCAGAGGCACCTACCAACGGCAGAGGGAATGCTGGTTCAGAAAGCAGAAGCCACAAGGTCTTCTGGGAAGAGAGGTGACCTGGCTTAGGTAGCCCAGGAGTCTGAGGCCCTGAGCACCCATGGGATTGCAGAGCTAGGCTGGCACTGTGGGGTGAAGGCAGGGCCCTGTCTCTAGCCCAACAGTCTGAGCCCACAAGGGAAAGGAAATGTCACCACTTCACACATGCATCCCGTGACAACAAAGAGCTGCCAGCATACTTAGCACATGGCGCTTTTGGGGTGTTGGAAGTGCAGGGTGGGAAGCATTCCCGCAGCCGGGAACCAGCTTCCAGCCATCTCAGCCACCAATCCCTTCACCCTAATAAGGGTGTAAACAAGACAGGCTGCGGGCTGCGTGCAGCAGAGGGTTGCTGGCCCACAGCCCAGAGCTCTTCCCATTAACTGAAAGTCCCTCTGTGGGTCACCAGCCCGACAGCCCCCAGCATAGTGGGCCAAGGCCTTCGTGCAAGAGACGGGGAGGGCCAGAGTCGTCCCTGGTCCAAAGTGTGACTGAGTGAGGGTTACTTAACCATGGTTAAGGACCCACTAAGGCCCTCTAGGTGGCAGTGGGGACAAGTCCAGTCACCCAGCTGCTGTGGTCTTCCCTGCCCAGGACTCGCCCACCAACAAGCTCCTGTACGCAAAGGAGATCCCCGAATACAGGAAGATCGTGCAGCGCTACTACAAACAGATCCAGGACATGACTCCTCTCAGTGAACAGGAAATGAATGCACACCTGGCCGAGGAGTCTCGGGTAGGTGGCCTCTGGGGCCTAGGCAAGGAGGTAGTAGCAGTGGGGCAGATTGGGGCAGGAGACACGGTAAGAATTTGGGGGCAGCCTCAGTTTCTCTCCTTTGCCTACACCTCCATCAACATATTTTTCCCGAAGTCCAAGGATGGAGTGGCGTGCCCTCCAGAAGATGTGGGAAGGTTGGAATTTTGGGTCCAGGAAACCAATGTGTTCCTGGGTTGGAGGGGCCTGAATTAGTCCGATCGGACTGTGGGAAGTGAGCGAGCTGGGTCCTAACCCGGAGGGTTAAGTCTCCCCTTCCTCCTCGCCCCACCTTTACAGAAATACCAGAATGAGTTCAATACAAACGTGGCCATGGCTGAGATCTATAAATACGCTAAGAGGTATCGCCCACAGGTGAGTTCCCCCACCCAAGATTGGCCTAAAGTTCGGCCCATAAAAATGAACTTCTCCCTTTAGATTCATCTGAGGTGTTGGCACTTTGATGATGTCACCGGTGAGTGCCCTCTCAATATCAAAGGCATGGTACAACTGACCCTCTGCTTCCCCTCAGATCATGGCTGCCCTGGAGGCCAACCCCACTGCCCGCAGGACCCAGCTACAGCACAAGTTTGAGCAGGTGGTGGCTCTGATGGAGAACAATATCTATGAGTGTTACAGCGAGGCCTGAGGCAGAAGAGTGACCAGGAGCTACTGCCAGAGAGACGGTGCGCAGGCCACTTGGGCCTCCATTTGGTCTCTTCCCCCCTCCTCTTAACTTGGGCAGGGAACTGACAAAGAGGAGCCTGCTGGGGTAGGAGGGAGGACACTGACCTCTTAGTGCCTGGCTGCAGAGCTCTCAGCCTCGTCCCCTGGGGCATCTCTGTCCCCTCCACCTGCCCGAGACCTGGCTCTAGGACAAGGGCTTTGAGCATCGCTGCCAGTCCCTGAGAAGGCTTTCCAGCCAACCAGGACAGCCTGGACCGCGCCTGCCTGCTCGCTCTGTCCCAGGCTGCTCAGCACACATTGGGAGAGGTGGCCATATCCCAGAACACTACCTCATCCACCTGGCAGAGGGGATCCTGCAGTTTCTGCTTCAGCCACCTAGAAGTTGTCTGTGTCCCTCCCCTAGAGGGGGCCCTGGCTGCCAACAGCTCCAAGCAGGGTCAGATTTTTTGTTATTGTTGTTCCATCGGCCAACGGCAGCAGGGGCAGTGCCCGTTGCCCACAGAATGGTGGAGAGAAGGAGACAGGTTGGGGGTTCCTGGTCCCCCAGAAAGGGGAAGGTCAAGGATGCGGGACTGTAGCTGGACTACCCAATCTTCCTGGAAGTGTTTCTAAAGAGCACCACTTTTTCGTTTTGTTTTTTAAATCTTTTATATATTAAAAAAAGAAAACTTATCGCGCACCAACTGTGAATAGCTGCTGCTTGTGCAGAAGACCCACGGGTCCCCAGGGGCTCCCGGTGCGACACTGGAAACCACTGCTCCAGGAGACAGAAAGTACTCCCTGTCCCCAGCACAGGCCACCCTCCATAGCCACTGGGACTGGCTCAGAGCCTGAGGAGGCTGGGCTGGAGGGGAAGACTGGGACTATCTGGAACATTCTTTATAATAAAAGCCTGCTGGGAAAACCTCCTATGGGCTTCAGCCTTTGTCCTAAGATGGCCGAGGGGGGAGATGGGCCTGTTTCTTCATCCCATTCATGGCAGAGAGGAAGTGCAGAGCCTGGCCTCGCATCCTACCATAGACATGACCTAAAGGACCTCTGCCCTCTGCCTGCTGGGAGTTTGAGGCTGTGCCCTCTATCCCCATGGACCGCCCTGCCACCCAGGAAAGGTCACCTCATGTACCTCCCATCTGTGCTAAGCTGAACATGGACTCCAGGGCCCTGAGCTGGCTTCAGCACACCCTCTCCACTGAGCCGCACGCACTCCCTACCTTGTCTTTATTCAAACCTAAGAGAAGCAGACATTTTGTCTTCATTTTGCAGACGTAGAAAGTGCCAAGCAGGTGAAAGGGTCTTCAGGGCTCACACAGCCAAGAAGGCCAAAGAGAACAAAACATCTGGATCCCTTTCTCCTTGCCCAACACCCTCCCTCTAGGCAAGTCTCTACCTCCAAGTTTGAGGGGTTCCAAAATGACCACACCCACACCCCAAATCTCTCATCTGGTCTTTAAAACCGTACTCAGTTTCCCTGAAGCCAACTGCCGCCTATACTCTTCCCACAGCAGTTGGACCTGACCATCTAACCTGGGGTGACACACACTGAGCCCCCTGGGGGCCCAGTGCCTCAGGGCTGAGCCAGTGAGATTCTCCCCAGAAGCAGGGTGTGGCAGGGCCAGCCTGAGTAACGGCCATTGGCACAAGTATCCTTTCGAGAAGAAAAAGTCCCCACGGTGCTTGCCAAGAGTTTCCAACACTAAGCCAATACCCAACCTAGAATTCACCAGCTCAAAAAAAGTGACAACCTCACTCCCAAAATAGCTTTCTCTTGTGACGGTTGCGGGTGGAGGGACCAGCTTTATCTTTCAGGTCTCTGATGCTGGGGGTTCTTATTAAGGAACAGATTTGCTAATTTCAATTATTGGCAGATTTGATGGGTTTGGTTCCCCCCTCCCCCAGATGATGAGGGATGATTCCAGAATGGATTCACAATTCCCAAAAAAATACTGCAGAAGACCCCCGGAGAAGAAAAGCTTCAGTGTGCTTGCGGGGACACTGTCACACAAGGCGCCGGCCACATAAGGCCAGCACCCTTGCCTGAGTGGGGCCGGGAGTGAAGACAGATCAGTCCACACTCTGCTCTGAAGCCTGACTTTTCCCTTATGCAACAATATGTCGGGGACATGTTTTCTAAGTCATTAGATATTCCACAGTCTGGCTACGCGTCTCATTACCATACAGCTCCTTGCTGACATTCAGAAGGGAGCCGACGCACAGATCTGGTTTCCAGGGTCACTAGCATTGCCAGGTGGGCAACCTCCATGAACTGTCTGCAGTCCTTGCCAGGTCCCCAAAGATGCACCTGGCAGCCATGGGCAACCAAGCAGGGAACTGGATGGAGCATCCTCAAGATTGCTAAGTGGGGGGAACCACCACAGAGGAGGGTGATCTCGCAAGTCTAAGATGGTTCAAGGTCTCTTTCCTCCTTGTCACTGGGGTAGGACTGATGGGTCCCTAGCTCCTGGAGACAAGAGGCTACAGGCTGTAGCTCCATGTCAGCTCCATGCAGGAGCAGAGGCAAAAGCTGAGCCTCTCTGCTTGGGAAATGCCAGCCTGCCATCTGCCGGGTGCCCTTCGGGGCCTGCTGGCAGGCACAGTATCGATACCCCAGGGACTGACAGAACTAGACACAGCTTTCTGAGAGACTCCAGGGGGAGAAACCATGGACAACAGAGAGCCCTGAGCCCCATACTAGGCACTCAGTGTCCCTGGTACCCACCATATTGAAGGTCACTTCTTCCCTCATCTGCTACAACAGGGGTGCTCTGGCTGGCTATGGCGTCCACCATGTCCCTAGGCCACTCCCCCTCCCCCAACCTCCACCCTTTCCTTATAACTGACAATAAACCCAGAGTCCTGAGCCCTACCTTTGTGATGTCCTTCTTCTTGGTGGGGACTGCCTGCATCCCATGACCCTGGCTGCAGCTCCTGTCGGATTATTCCAATGTTCAAGTGCCAAGAGCAGCAGCAAGTACTTCGCCTCGGCCTTTGCCGTGGGGACATTGTCCCTTTCTACCAGGTGTCAGCATGGGAGCTCAGAGGTGCTACACTCCCAGGGCAGCAGTGACCTGAAGCTCAGGGCTGAACTGGGCGCCTTGGCTCTCCGTGGGTGGTACTGACTTCCCTACAGTGTGAAGGATATCTATGAAAATACAAGAAACTTCAGAAGTTAAAACTACATGTGTGTGCACACGTGTGTTCAGGTACACTCACCTACACGTGCATGTATAGAGTCCAGAGGTTGATATGGGGTGGTTTCCTCAATCACTTCTCCCACCCACCCCCATTTCCGTGTATTATGTCTGTTTGCATGTGTATGGGCACATGTGTGTATGTGTAAGCACGTCAGGGATCATCAACAGCTTTCTCCTTGTTCACGGAGCAGTATCAGTCAAACCCAGAGCTCACAGATATGACTAGTCTTGCCAGCCACCCTGCTCTGCGGGTCCCATCTATGTGAGGGTTTCTGTTGCTGTGATGAAACACCATGACCAAAAGCAACTTGGAGAGGAAAGGGTTCATTTCAGTTTACAGCCTCATTATAGTCCATCACTGAAGGAAGTCATGGCAGGAACTCAAGGAAGGAACCTGAAAGCAGGAACTGAAACAGAGGCCACGGAGGGGTGCTGCTTACTGGCTTGCTCCCCGTGGCTTGCTCAGTCTGCTTTCTTATAGAACCCAGGACCATCAGCCCATAGTAAGCTGAGCCCTCCCACATCAATCATTAATCAAGAAAATTCCTCACAGGTTAATCTGGTGGGGATATTCTCTCAACTGAGGTTCCCTCTTCTCAGGTGACTCTAGATTGTATCAAAGTGACCAAAACCAAAAACAGAACCCTACAAGTTAGCATACTAACTTGACCTGCTGAGGCTGAAATTACCAGGGTGGGCACAATGCCCACTGGGCATATATATGTGGGCTCTGGGGGTTCAAACTCTGGTCTCAGACTTACACAGCAAATGTTTAACCACTGAGCTACCTCTCCAGCCCTTGACCCTGGGTTTTTTTTTTTGTAGCCATTTTGAGTCTTTCACTCAACATGGAGCTTGCCCTTTTAGCGCAGGCTGATTGGGTAGTGAGCCCCCGGGATCCTCCTGTCTCTGCCACCTGGCACTGGGGTTATAGATATGCATTGCCACACCCAGCTTTTATGTGGGGGATTTGAACTCTGGTCCTCATGATTATGGAGCCAGCACTTTACCCGCTGAACCGTCCTGCATCCTCTGAAGCTGGAGCCTCAGATTTGGCCTTGCCCCCTGGTCAAGCATGCAGAGCTCAGACTCAGGGAGAGGAAGCCCACTTCCCTACCCATGGGAAGGGTCTCATAGATGGTTTTAAAGCAGCACAGATTTTGTCCCCATAACTTGTCCTCACCCTTTGGACTGTGGCCACGTAGGGATGTCAAGCATACTCCTGTCCCTGTACTGGGCCCTGTGAGGGTTAATATTGATCACCAACTTGACTGGATTTGGAGACACCACTGGTCATGTCTTTGAGGCCATTTACTTCTAGAGATGCTTAAGTGGGAAGACCCACCCTGAACTTTGGTGCGGCCATCGGTCCTGTGGGCTGGAGTCCACACTGAGTAGAAAGGAGAAAGCACACTGGGCCCAGCACCCGCACTCATTCATCCGTCTCTGTCCCTGACTATAACGTAAGCCACCACCTCACATTCCTGCTGCTACTGTGGCCTTTTCTGCCCAGTGGGCCATGTCCCTTCAAGATGGGAGCCAAAATAAACCTTCCTTTAAGTCTCTTCTGCCAACTCTTTGTCATAGCAACATGGACAAGTAACCAATACGGCGCCTTTGTACCCTCTCGGTCTCTTGCTGAATATGCACCTACCCAGACTTGGGGCCCTGCTTAGCAACCCCTCCCCCATAGAAAACTGCATCAAAGGCTGGTGAGATGACTCATCAGGTAAATTTGCTTTCTGCCAAGCTTGATAACAAAATTCCATCACTGGGACCCACAAAGTGGAAGGGCTCCCCCTCAAATTGTCATCTGACCTACACACACACACACATCATGGCGCATGCACATCTACACACACTAAATAAAATACAATTGCAACCAGAACTACACTCCTCTGGAGACAACAGTGCTGGTCCCCCAAGCCAGAATCTGCCCCCCTGAATGGAGGCTTGTCCATGGTCAAGCTCGGAAGAAGCTTGCAATGGTCTTGGTCCCCCGAGTCCTTCATCTCCCATCCTGAAGCCAGGAGGGTCTTTTTTAAGGACATCAGCTGCTCCCAAGTCCTCAAAATCTACCTTTGCCCCTCTGGGCCTTCCTGCCTTGTGGTCCAGTGTCCAACGCACCAATATGTGAACAAAAAGACATCTTTATTGATAAATAAGTTAGGATTAAACATCGTGACAAGGAATAAAAACTCAGAGTGGCCATCTTCTCAAACCTGGTCCTAGTTCCCAGCCTCAGCCTTCTTACTGGGAGCTTTGGATGAGGTCTTGGGGGGTAACCCAGGTTTTTTGGGGTTCTCAGGGGTCTTTGTTTTCCTGACCCTATGTGTGGGTTCTGCTTTGTTTCCCGAGTCCTGGGGAGGAGCAGGTGCTTTAGTCTTGTGTTCCGTCTTAGACCCAGTGTGGGCCATGGCTGTCATCTTCCTTTTGGCGAGGGAAGCAACATTGCTCTGGACCTGTAAGGAAGCAGTCCTAGCAGTGGGGAGATGGTTTGGCCAGTAGAGTGCTCACCTCACAAGAACAAAGACTTGAGCTCCCCTTCCAGAACCCACAAACAAAGCCTGGGAGGACTTGAGACCCAGGGAGCAATAGACACCTACCTACCTTGCTGGCTGAGGGCTCTGACTTCTCACACACATCTTTGGTTTTCCCATGAGCATCAGCTTCTGGAAAAGGAAGAGTAAGGGGAAAAGGGTCTACAGGCTCTAGAGTTCCCAGCCTGCCTAGGTCCCCAGGTCATCACCTGGACAACTGAAGGCCATGTGACCTAGCCAGCTGTTTTACCCCCGAGTCTCGGGTCCCAGTTTGGACAAGATGCTTCCCCTACACAACATGGGAGCACTGAAATTGGACCGCCTCCCCATACAGGGAGCAGACAGACCCCCTATCAGCTTTGCTGCCTACCTGCCAATGGTGGAACTTCTTATGTTTATCTATCATTTGCAGGAGGGTAGGTTTGGTTGAGACAGGGTCTCATGCAACCCAGGCTGATTTCAAACTTTATATAAACCTAAAGATGTAGCCTTGAACTTCCAATCGTCCGGCCTCTACATCACCAAGTGCTAGGATAAGGTTGTGGGCCAGCTTCCTTGATTGTCTTTAGCCCTCTCGCCACCATCCTGCTAGAAACCCATGGTGGCTCACAGTCCTCAGGTGAGCCTAGACTCCCTTCTGTCATTCAGAACTTCCCTGGACTTCTGACTGCTGAGATAAGACAGCCTGCAGCTCTTCAAAAGCTATACCTTCCTTTTGCACAGATGCCTTTAGGGTGCCTCCTCCAGGAAGCCTTCCCTGACCCCTCCTCAGGGCTGTGTTGGGCCCTGGAGTCTCTGGATTCCACCCCCCACAATCCAGGTCAACACTCAAAACCTGCTCCCTAGAGAGTCCCTCCCATCCTCCCCAGAGGCTGCTGGCAACTCCTATCCCTCCAACCCTTCCCACTCTTACCTTGCCTGCTTCTACTGTGTTTGGCCTTCTGGCCTATCTTGTTGATGGTGGGAGGGGCCCATGTGGCTTTGTTTGGTTTTAGGGGGGCCTTCCTGACCTCTTCTAGTTTTGACTTGCTGACTTTCTTAGGTGCCTTCTCCAAGGTGGCTGCTGGACAGGGACAAGCCTTCTTCCTCTGTCCTGGTTTTTGAGCCACTGTCTCCATCTTGGCCTTGCTGGCGTGGTCTGTCTTCAGCTCCCTGGGTTTCTTGGGGCCTTTCTCCGTGGCATCTGCAGTTCTCCTTGGGGCTATCGAGGTACAGGTTCTCTTCCTCTTAGGCTTGGGAACTAGCTAAAGAGAGTGGGGGTGGGGGTAAGGACAGATGTTCTGGGTACCCCTGTACCCCACATAAGACAGCAAAGGAGCCATGTTCCCAATATCAGGATTAAGAAAGGAGTGGGATGGAAGGAGATACACGGACCTCTGTGGTCCTCCCAAATTTCACCTGGTGTTAATATGCCCTCTCCCCGGAGTGCCCCACCACTCACTTCCAAGGACCCAATACTGCTCTCTGCCTCTCACCCTCATAGCCCCAAGCCTCACTGTGTCTCACCCCCTCTGCCCCTGCCCCCTGAAGCCGCATCTTTCCTTGATGTCTCTAAGAATACAGGCTGAGAAGGGAGATGGCCCAGCCGGTGCCACTGAGATCCTGTTGAGCCACCTGTCCCCCAGTGTTGGGACTTCCTGAGGTAATCACATCCCAGACACCACATGTGGTTCGTAGAGACCATCCCATAGTCCCCTCTAGAAGCTATGGGTCAGTGGCTGTGGGGCAGACACAGGTAAGCCATACTCAGACCCTGATACTATGCAGGCTCCCAGACCACACAATGTGGGCCAACAGAAGGGCTGTGGAGGTGTGGGCAGCGGTGAGAAGCAGCATGTGCTAAACCCTGCATTAAGGCCTCCCCTCCATGTCCATAGCTCACTTTGAAACTGCCAGTGGCACCCTTGGCCTTGGAGTTGGCAGGCCTGGCAAGGAGGCCTCGACGCATGCCCGTGTCCAGGGCCTGCTTCAGCAGGTACTTGAAGCGGGTGCCATCCACTGTTGGGTACTTGTGTTGGATATAGACCTTGATGGCAACGACGGATGTGCCCTGCCGCTTCTCTCGGGCCTGCAGAGCCTCTAGCACCATACGGAGCATCGGTGGGTTCCGTTTGGCTACTCGGGCTCTGCTGGAAGTTGGAACTGTGGGATAGACAGCAGGGCATCACCCAGACTGCCCGCCCTCCACCCCAGTCAAGGCCTGACCATGGTTGGGGCAAAGCACCAACTAAAAACTGGCTCCCTGTGTCATTGGCTGCCAGTCTGCAAGCCTTACACTGACCACTGGCCCTATGGGGCTCACGAAGTTCCTCTTCTCTTGAAAAATATTCTCTTTAAAGAGGCGAAGCTGGGTAAGGTGAGCTGCCCACGGGCGGCTACACCTGCATATGGGCGCAGAGAAGCAATCTGGAAGCTCAGCGAGGCTTGTGTGTTGACTTAGCTCACACACAAGTCATCCAAAGAAAAGGCACCAAGCACCCTATTGAGACTCCGAAGGACTCAAAATAACCACCCTGGAAAAATCCAGGCATGGTGGGGACACACCTGTTACCCCAGGACTCCAGACACTGAGGTGAAAAGATTGGTGACCTTAAGTTGGCCTGGAAATAGTAAACAAGGTGGTACCTCAAAAATAAGACACACACCAACACAAAATCCAACTGAACAAAGAAATAAAGCAACTAAATATTCATAAATGCTGGGAGAAAGGCAGCATTAGCGATGGTTCCAATCTGGGTGTGCTAACGGATTACGTGGTTGTTTTTACAGTGCTCACGTGCACACATGCCAGGCAGGCGCGATAGTGCCGAGCTCCTCCTAGGCAAGACAGCACTTTCAGAAAGGTTCACGTCCTTTGGAAACCAATCCTGGACTGCTTCCAGCTGAAACGCTGGCACGTGTCTGAGATAGCCCGGTGGGTGGGCAACAGCAGCCACAGCTGAGGATGGCAATGGGCACAGGGGAGGGGCTCAGTTGCTCCCAGCCGTCTGCTAACCAGGTATCAGCATCATCTGTGGGTCTTAGGCTCTGCAGATAGAGACCCTTGTGTCCACAGATGGAATGAAGGGGGAAGTGAAACTGGAGGGAAAAGGGAACTAATGAGAAGGGGGAGAGGAAGAGGATTTAGAAGACTATGCTCACACACAAAGCATATATATATACTTGCTTGAAAATGGTCTCGTTTATGGGATAATACAAGTAAAACTAAAGGGAGCTGGCAAGCTGGCTCAGCGGGTAAAGGAGCTTTCTGCCAAGCTTGATGATCTGAGTCCAATCCTGGGAACGCACAGTGGAAGGCGAAAACCAGCTCCACAAAGCCGTCCTCTGACCTCCGCGTGCGCACAGATAATTGGCGGAGGGGATCGAGACAGCCTCCCACTGTAGCTCACCAAAGAAGCCAGGCTGGTTTTGAACTCCGAGATCCACCTGCCTCTGCCTCCCAAGTGTGTGCTATCATGCCCACCTCTCTCATTTTTAAAAAAGGTTTCAAAGAGACTTATTTTGGGGGGGAAAAAAAGGCAGAAACAATCACATTCCTGGGAGTGTGACCTCCACCCCCAATAAAGTGAAAATGTAAGTGAAGACTGGTGCACGAGGGTGAAAGGGCTGGGCTGCCATGGCAGAGAGATGCCCAGTGTGCATCAGAGTGTGCATGAGGCCCTGGGCTCTGTCCCTAGCCCACCAGCAGTGCGCACGAGCGGTTATTTCTGATGGCCCAAACGTGGAAGCAACCCGATGCCTGACCACACATACGTGCAGGTGCACTGGAGTACTACATGGCCATGAAGACGACGGACGCGTGAGCTGCCACAGCAGGAAGTGCTTCTAAATATAAGCAAGCAAAAAAGCCAGTCACAGGGCCATGCACGGGATGACGTGAGCCCACAGACACAGGTGGAGTGCCAGGAGCTACAGCTCAGCTTTTCTTCTTAGGAAGTGATTGAATTCTAAAACAGGATGTGGCCATGGCCATGGCCACGCATGGCGACATACTAAAGGTTGCTGCGTGTTGAACATGGGGAAGCCATGCAGTTCTTTGGAAAAGCTTCAAGGGAGTGGAGGGCTTGGGAGAGAAGTGTGCGGGGGGGGGGTTGGGGAAGAGAAGTGTGTGGGGGGGAGAGGGGGGGAGGACCCACCAGCTGCAAGTACTTGATTTAAACTCAGAAACTATGCTATCAAAATGATTGCAAAATTCAGACTCAAAGAGAAGGGTTTTTTGTTTTTGTTTGTTTGGTTTTTGTTTTTTCAAAACAGGGTTTCTCTGTAGCTTTGGAGCCTGTCCTGGAACTAGCTCTTGTAGACCAGGCTGGCCTCGAACTCACAGAGATCTGCCTGCCTCTGCCTCCTGAGTGCTAGGATTAAAGGCATGCGCCACCAACGCCCAGCGAAAGAGAAGTTTTTTAAGTAGAAAGAAAAAGCCAGATGAAACTACAAGCCGCCAGAGACTCCTCCTATAGCAGGGCCACTGGCAGCCCGCAACCAGAGTCTTCATCCATAGTCCCAAACCAGCTATGCCCCCAGGACCATCCTTCCATGACTGGGTCCCCCATCTGTGTGGTGGGAACTGGTCTCTATAGCTGTGTGCGCCTTCCCAGCTCTTACCACTGGGCTTCCAGGGACTTTGACCTAAATGGAAAGAATTCCACCTCCCTGCTTACCTGGTTTGTCAGTCCCGGAGAGCTCAGATGATCCAGGGGGTGATGTGTCCCTGGATAGAGAAGAGGAGACACTTCCTGGAGCCATGGCACAGGCAGCGGCAGGCCTGCTGCTCACTCAGATACCAGCCTCCAAACCTCGCGCCTTAAATACCTCTCACCAGCGGTCAACAGGCTCACCACCTGAGCGCTGGAAGCCAATCTGGCCTGGCGAGAAAGGCTCTCTTTCCAAACAGAGCACCCTGCCTCAGCCCTGTGGGTCCTGAGGAAAATAAGGAGACAGAGTTACTGGATCCTACCTAGTTGGTGGTGCTGACAGTGAGTGGGGGAACGCCTGAGTTGTGGGGGTGCCCAAAAGTGGGCAGGGGGCTGTTGGCTGTGTTCCCAAACAACTGCTGGCCTCAATTTGTCACAACATAGCAATTGGGCCCACAGGAGGGAATGGCTTAGAGGTAGCGGCCTCCCCTTGCCCAGGAAGGCTCTCTGTCTGTTTCTTCCTTCTGTACCATTCTGATATTCTAGATTATATTAGAGTTTGAGATGCAGCGGGGGGGGGGGGGGGCGCTGTGGCAGGATCTCATATGGCCTTGGCTGAAGGCCACTGTCCTCGGTGTGCTTGGCATTCAAAGACACTCACACTGGGACAGGCATAAGTCACTGTTTCCATCGTAGTACCAAACCCTGGAACACTGGCCAGGATGACAGGGCTGTGACTTAGGAAGGGGTCCCCCTAAGCCTGGGCACTCCACCTCCCTCCTAGGAAGGGCTGTGTCATCTAGAAGAATGAAAAGGAGAAGTAACTTTTCAATGAATCACATAGGCCTGAGTCAATTGCTCCTTGGCTGTAAAATACGCCACAGCTCATATGACAAGGTCTCAGAAAGACCTGGTGGCTCAAGCCTGTCATTCCAACTGAGGGTTGGGAGTTTGAGGTTAGCCTGGACGACACAGCCAGTCCCCTGACTCAAAGAGTCAAACCAAACAGAAACAACAGAGTGGATTGAAACAAGCTGTATCTCTCTCCTTGCTGACTGGCAGTATTTCTCATACAAAATAGGAGGCACGCCTTTCTCACGCTGACTGCCAACGACGTGTGGAGACTACACTTGTATGTGTGTATGGCGAGGCTGATGGGCCGGTCATCTTAGATGCAATTCAACATCTTATGTAGCAAAGATAAGCTTGCCCCACAGTGCACCCACCCCCTTCCTGGGGAGAAACGGGGGAACTGGCAAACAGGAACTTTGCCCCAGTATCAGCAGAAATTCAAGGCAAACTAAAACCTTTTCAGGTAGAAACAGGCTAAGTCAATTGTGGGCTCTTCACAATGGAATGGCCCACAGCTGTGAAAATGAAGAAATCAGCCTTGAAGCAAGTCTCCCAGGACTCACGCCAGTATGGAATCAGCAGTTACCCCAGGGGAGAGGTTAGAGGGTAGTATAATGAAGACTTCCATGTTTCTCCCTCTGTGATCTCTCTATGTTCTGGGATTTCCCCAGAGAGCTCACCATCATCACAGGTCTGGTTTGAGAAAGTTTGTGGTCCTCAAAGTTCTTTGCAGTGAAAATAGACCTCACTCCATTTCTAGAGCCTTCTATGGCTCCCTACTTCCTTGGGGGGGGGGGGAGTTTGAGTTCTTCCATCAGGTTCGTGATGCTCTTCTCTCCCTGGAATCCCACAGTTCAGTCACACTCCAGGTAGGGCTTGGGTTGTGGCTTAGTGGGCTTAGCATTCCTGAGACTCTGCTTTTCAGCTTTCAGTAATAAACTTTTTAAAACCCTCACCGTGAGGCCTTTGAATGGGCTATAGCTAGTACCAGGACACCACGCTTTGTGCTCCTCTGTCAAATTAACGTACAGATGGTCTGGGTTTCTATCTCTACCCTTATCTACCCTCACATTCCATGAGGCTTTGTAGAGCTCAGCCCTAGGTCAGCGCTAGCCTTGTGCCAGTGAGCTACCGTGGGAACGGTGTTATCCTGATCCTGTTGCCATGGGAATAAGCCCTGGCTAGTCTGTTGGATGCTGAGACCCATGCCCCAGTCGTTTGTCACCCAGCCACCAGCCAGTCACCAGCCAATCCCTCACTTGACCAATGGATGCTTGAAGGATCTCAGAAGACATGGTCCAAGCTGGATCCCCATCAGCAGAATCCCCCAGCTAGTCCCTGGAACTAGAAGAAAGACATGTGGGTCGCTGTTTTAAGCTGTGAATTTTGGGAGTGTAGTTGCTGCTACACTGGGCCTAAAAAGCCTCCTTCGTCCCTACCTACCTTCTCTGGAATATCCTTCTCACTCAGGTAAGTAAGGCTCGCTCAGGGACACCACCTCAGACCCCTAGAAGATCAGAGTCACCAACTCTTGAGCCTCCAGTGTTCTGAGTCACAGCTGTGACTTACAGGCCCCTGACTCCTGAGGTGGAGGAGAGCTGTCTCTGGCACCTTGCCCAACAATGGCACATAGTAGGTCCGCCAGACTTGCTGCTGTGGTTTGGTGGCTCCATTGAATGAACAGGAACCTGCAAAATTGCCCTTGGCCCAGTGCCAGACAGGGAAAGGGCTACGGGGAGGCAAAGAGGCAAACAGGAGCTGGCACAAACGGGGGCTGCAATTTTGATCCATTTGTGGGGTGTTTCCAAGAACTGAGAAGTGCAGAGAGTCTGTGGCGTAAACATTCCCACGAGCTTTGCTGAAACCCTGCTCCCAGGCTGTGCCAGGAGCGAGTTTTGTGTTGGGAAGGAAGTTTGGGAAAAACTCAGAGATCTAAAAATTCTCCAAAGGGTTTGCCACTTGACAGGGAGATGATAGCAAGTTAGGGAGACTGTTGGCAGAAGCAGTGCCCTTTGCCAACCTCCTGACTTCTCTGTGGGGCTGGGGGTGGGGTGCTGCCTTCCTTCTGGAACCTTCTCCTCCTGCCCTGGGACTTACTCCAGCTTCAGAGATAAATGTCCTGAACTCTGAGAGGATCCAAGTGCCTCTGCTGTGCACGATGCCATCAGGACATCGGAGCGTTTATTTTCTAACTTTGGTCAATCAGTGCATCAGATTGGCGTGAAACTGCAGCCTCTGCCATGCCCAATGTCTGTGTAAACTTCATCATTTTCTTTACACACGAAGAGGCTGAAGTTCCCAAGCTCAGACTCTAGGCTGCAACCCGGAAGCCCTTTGTGCCACTTAAAATAGGTGCGGTAATCCCCAAATAACCATTCTGTCTTGAAGCCATCCCTTCAAAAGCTCTTGAAGTCACCTTGTCTGGCGAAGATCCAAGGTGAGGCAGCTCCAGGGGAGCCAGATCCTCTCTTCACCCTCTGCACTTTTGTACGTCGGGTCCATTTCATGATCCAGCATGACCGCTGCAGGTCCAGTCACTGTGACCACATTCCAGCCAGCAAGAAGGACCGCGGAGGAGAAGGAGGGCGTTTCCATTCTCTGAAGTGCACAGCTCGGAGCCTGCGGGCGTCTGAGCCATCACAGATGAGAGGGAAACAGTGTCACACTGTCAGGTGCCCAGCTAGGACTTAGAGGGGATCACCGACAGAAGGAAAGGGAAAACGAAGCCGGGCACCTGGCGCTCCCTCCCTCCCTCCTGGGCCCTCCATCAAGCTCATCTCTGCACAGGCTGCTTCCCTGGAACCCTGGCCCCGGCCCTGGGAGGGAAGCCATGTGCATCCAACAAGTGCTGTATGAAATGTCATTCATTCTGATGTCTCCTTGATCCTTCTGACCCCCAGTTCTTAGGTGGGCCTCGAGCCCATACAGGTCCTGCCCTTGAATGGGAGCTGGCAAAACTTTGAGAACAGTGGAAAGTTTCTGAACACACAATGATCAAAGAGTAATTCAAGGGCAGGTGGAAAAGGCACTTGCTGGCAAACCTGATGACCTTAGTTCCAACCCTGAGATCCATGTGGCAGAAGAAAACTGACTTCCAAAAGCTGTCCTCTAACGTCAACATTCATACTTTAACATGCATGTGTCACCCCTCCTCTAACATGTGTTCACCCTCCCCTGACATGTGTCCCCCCTCCCTGACATGTGTTCCTCTACCCTGACATGTGTTCACCCTCCCTGACATGTGTTCCTCTACCCTGACATGTGTCCCCCCTCCCTGACATGTGTTCCTCTACCCTGACATGTGTTCCCCTCCCCTGACATGTTCCCCCTCCCTGACATGTGTTCCCCTCCCCTGACATGTTCCCCTCCCTGACATGTGTCCCCCTCCCCTGACATGTGTTCCCTGACACATGTGTTCCCTGACATGTGTTCCCCGACAGGTACAATAAACAAAACATAATAAAAATTTTTTGCACTAACTTAAAGTCAATGAATCTGAGGTATTTCAGGCAGGGCTCACCAGTGTTGCGTCATGTGACTTCACAAAGCCTTCATAGTTCTGAACATGATTGTGCACATCGTCCTGCACAAGCCTCCACACCATGCAACACCAACAAACTGCCCGGAACACAGCTCAGATTCCAAACTATTGGATGTTGTGAAACACAGGGTTTTGTTTGCTTGTTTTTGATGTACACACAAAGCGCTCTATGTTATTGGAACATAATAGTTGAATTGCGGAAAACAAAGACTTAGTATTTTCTCACCATCATCCTTCACCATGTAAGGGTCAAATTAGAATACTTTTGGGTTGCATTGTGTTAGAATGTTTGATCTTAAAAAATTGTTTGAATCGCTGACTTGAGTTTCAGACATAAATCAATCACTTGGGAGCAGAGTGATGTCTTAATCAGTAACACACATGTTGTGCAAGGATGAGGACCTGAGTTTGGAACCCCAGCACCCATGTAAAATCTGGGGCGACCCCATCTGTAACCCCAGATTCTCCATATTCATACACACAGGTGATAGTATCTCCATATATACACGTACATATAGGCATATTTGTGAGCATGTGCGTGCGTGCACACACACACACACACACACACACACACACACACACTACTCAGTAAATTTTGGATTGGGCTAAGGAAACGATTTCCAACAATTCCTGAAACGGCCTAGACATACTTCTGTCATGTTATACTATGTATTTATGCAAAGAGGCATTCTCAGCATCGATGATTAAAAAATCAAAATATCAACCAGCTCTGAAGAACATTGTAGATGCTGTGTCCTACATCACTAAATATTCAGCCAAGATCTAAATTCTTTTGAAAAAGTAGGCACAGCCATCTCATTAGTATGCAAATTTATTTTAATCTTTAATCAATTGTAAAATTGCATATATACCAAAGACTTATTTTACAGTAAGTTTTTTTTTTTATGACTATCAGTAGGTGTTTGACTTGTGCTTCCGTCTGATTCCCTATCTGGCGTCACACTATGGTCTCGCGGGCAAAGGGACCACGAATGGACACAGTTACAGAGGCTCTCTAACCCTGTGCCAGCTGAGCTGTATCTTGACTTGCCCTGGGACTGGCACTGTACTTCTCTCGGGCACCCCAGGCTATCTGAGGTACTGTCTCTCTACTGGGGGCGACAGCCCTGTCTGACCTGTGATTGGCTGAGTGGATTGTACACTCCACAAACGTTGCTTGCTTGAAGCCTGGCAAGTGGCCCTGTGGGAATTACAGATCCCAGCTCAGGTCAGCAGCCCTTCACCCTGTACCCACAGTGACAAGTAACAAGGGGAGGCTGCCTTCACCATGACAACAAGAGCATTCTGGTTCAAAAGGGGCATTTTTCCTGGACAGGAGAAGGCAGGGGCAAAAGTGACACTCCACAGAACAAATGAACTAGGGATGGAAGAGTAAGGTAGGACAAGACCAGGCAACTCAAGTTTCCCACCAAGGCTAGCCCTGGCCTGTAAAGCATGGGGAACAACCAGAGCTGTGGCAGCCATGGGAATACCCCGAATCCACCACACACAGGAACGTATTTAGCACATCCCTGCCCTGCTCCCCTGTGCTGGTCCTGATCCTGTTCCCCTGGTTTCTTTCGGGGAACACATCCTACAGAGGTCGTAACTATGTAAAGTCAACTTTATTTTGTGGTATATGAACAAACGACAATTGAGAAATCCCTTTATCAGGCATAGTGATTGGCTTAGAGGTAATCAGGTGACCCAGGTCTAGCTAATCAGAAGATGAAGCTCCATCTTAGGCATGGTCATTGGCTTAGAGGTAATCAGGTGACTCAGCCCTGGCCAATCAAGATGAATCTCTATCTTAGACATGATGATTGGCTTAGGGATAATCAGGTGACCCATATCTGCCCAATAAGGACCTGATCTGACACCAGGGTTATATTAAGGAGCAGGAAACCCTCTTTCTGGAGGGATTGCTGGCCTTGGGACTGCTGCAGACAATTTTTCCACCTCTGGGGATAAGCCAGTGAGTAAAGTCAACACAGACAAGAGACACAAAGTGTTGAAGGCCTGAGGTTCTATACCCAGGTGGCCTGAAGAGAGGGGAGGAGATGTTATGTCTATAAGCCAATGTGATCAGCCTCTGCTTCAGCAACTGGGTTGGATTCCCTGTCACTTGTGACCAAATGAACCCTCACTGACATCACCCATTGACACAGCATAACAGATAGCCCCTTCCTGTCCCCTGCCCTTGCCCACCACAGCACTGAGGGGCTTCTATCCCAGGCCCTGGAACTCTTTCCTCCTTGGAGGATGGTGTTATTCCACATCTGAGGCTCCATCCCATTCCCCTGCTAGGTGGGTGTGTCCTGGTAGGGGAAGCTCTGAGGCAAGGCCTATAATTCCAGAGTGTACCAGTGTCTTCAGCATGTCAGGAAGTGGGCTGGCCACATAAGCCCTTTAGTTCTCATCTAAGAAGCTTAAAGAGGCCACCATGTCTCTATCCTGCCCAAGCTGGGTTTCTCAGACTGATGGGGCTACTCCATCACATTCCCCAGGGACCTGGACTCTTGTCTCCACACAGTCTAACCCTCCCTGGACGGGGTCATGGAAGCTTCCCAGTTTCCATTCATTGTAAGTAAAGAGCTTGAGAGCTACCTACACTGTCATCAAGTATAGGAGCTGAGCTTTTAATGCCCCCATTTGCCTCTGTCCCCAGGTAGAACTGGGCCTGTGGGAGCTCAGATGTGGTTCTGTGGAGGAGGGATGCAGACTAGGGATGCAGACTGAAACTGCTCAGTTTTGGTGTCCCAGCATTCCTTTTGGCCTCAAACCCAAAACTCTCTGGAATGAAGAAAGATCAAATGCCGAGGAAAATAGTATATCCAGAAAGGGAGCTAGGAGCTGGATCCATGAGCATCCTACAGATGAGGCCTGTCCAGGTCTTATACTGTGTTTCTGAGCTCTTCAGAATAAGGGTGGCATCAGGGACTCAGTCACTCCCTGAGGATAGGCAGATTAGCATGGCTTCTAGAACTCCGTCTGGAACTTCTAGAAATCAGGTCTGGAACTGTTGCTACCTGATTGTTGGTGCGGAAGAGCAAATGTGTCCAGATGCCAAGATGGAGGGCAGGATCTCAGGCCAAGGAGGATTGGAAGACATGAACCAAGAATGCCGCACTGGATGCAGGACCCAGGTCTTGTCTGAGACCCCTGGTCATAATGTTCTCTCAGTCCTAATGACTGCAGCCCCCATTGCTGTCACTGTCATCCCTGTAATCCAGCTCCAGCCCTGCACAGGCCTGAAGGCCTGGGTCACTGGTAAAAGTTACTGGGGCCGGGCGGTGGTGGCGCACGCCTTTAATCCCAGCACTCGGGAGGCAGAGGCAGGCAGATCTCTGTGAGTTCGAGACCAGCCTGGTCTACAGAGCTAGTTCCAGGACAGGCTCCAAAGCCACAGAGAAACCCTGTCTTGAAAAACAAAAACAAAAATAAAGTCTACTGGGGCTAAGGGAAATACCCTGACTGAGTGCTTGGACCCGGCCAATTTACTAGCAGTTACTAACAAGCAGAGACAATCAGGATGGTTAATTATATTAATTAATATCTTTGTACACAAGTACCAGCTGTACTGTTTATATACAAAGTATTTGCACACACACATACATTCTCTCTCTCTCTCTCTCTCTCTCTCTCTCTCTCACACACACACACACACACACATACATTCTCTCTCTCTCCCTCCCTCCCTCCTTTCCTTCCTCTCTCCTTCTTTCCCTCCCTCCTTCCCTCCCTCCCTTCCTCCTTCTTTCCCTCCCTCCCTCCCTTCCTTCCCCCATCTCTCTTTGAAGCAGCCACATGCTGTCAGGACCTGGAACTTAGGATTTCCATCTTGGGGTGGGGAAGACAACCAGGGCAGGGATGTAAAAACAATTGCTTATAGATTCCAGCCAAACATGACTGGCTCTGCCAGGCTGAGCACCTGAGGACACACGTGTTCCCCTCCACCAATCCCCTCACTCACATCTCCACTCATTCAGTCACTCGCTCCTCCCTTCATCCAGCTAGCATTTATTAGTTAGCTACTGTGAGCTCCATTCTGTCCTAGACACTTAGCCCTAAGCTGGGACAGTTGTCATGTTCTTGAGCAACAAGCTGGGGGGAGGGGTACAGATCCCACTGGGAACTGGGGACTCCAGGTTGCGGGTCTTGGTGGATGGATGTCCTTTCTTGGGCTGTCCCTGTTGAGTGGGGAGCCTCATTTTTCTTTCATGAATTAATTAAAAACAAAGAAAACACTGAGGGAGTCTGCATGACCTCATTCCAACGGGTGCTGCTCCTGGTGGGGGCTGTGGCTGGGGTGGGTGGGGACAGGAGACTCCTACAGTCAGCCACAGTCTCTGGCCAGGCTTAGGCTGGGGCCACCTGGCTGGTCTCCGTCTTGGAGACAGTGGCAGAGGCCTCTTCATCACCGAATGGAACCTTGCCACAGCAGAGGGTAGTGAGCATGCAGTTCCGGAACTGGAAGGCAGAGAGTGCCAGTCAGGACCAGGTCCCACCACCCAGCCCAGTCTCAGCCCCACCACCCACAGAATATCCCCTCACTAAGTCTGGCTCCTTAGCAGAGCTTGCTAAGTGTATGTTTCCCCAATGCCAGAGATGCCAGGAACCGAGAACAATATCAAATGATATTTCATAGTGTCCTTGAATGCTTAGGACCTTTTGTGAATGATCTCTTGTAATTTGAGAATTTAAGATTTGGCCCTTCCCATAGATAGGAAAACAGGAGCCCGGGGAGGGAGACTGACTCTCCCAAATCACACAGCCTGGACGTGGCAGAGCTAGGACATGAACCCAGAGTCTCAGTCCGGAGACCACATCCTTTTCTGCAGAGAGACCGTGGCTTTTAACAGCGGCTTGTTCCCACTCTAGCATTTTTAGCAACTTCTTCAGCTTTACAAAAAGTGAGACCATTCCATTCCCGGCCTTGGAACTACTTGTCATTTTCTGGTTGTTTTTTGAGACAGCCCTGGTTGGTCCCCAGATCACAAAGAAGCTTTGAACTTCTGACCTGCCTGCTTCAGCCTCCTGAATACTGGGCTATAGAGGTGCACGACCACATCCTAATTTGGAGGTGGGGTACATATCACCATGTAGTCCAGGCTGACCTGGAGCTCAAGATCCTCCTGCCTCAGCGTTTAGATTATGAGCGTGTGCCGCTGCACATGTGTGCCTGGCTTCTAGCTGACTTATGAGGCCAAGTTCCAGACCATCTGTCAGATGTATTTCACAGGAGCAGGTGTCAGGTCACCTGGTCACCTGGTCACCTTGGAGGGCTTACTTCCAGGCTACCCAGAGACTGGGAAGTTGCCGGCCTAAGAGCTGATGGCCTGCCAGCAGTCTGGGTGGAACTTCTCTGTCTTGCCCTATCCTCTCCCCCTCTCCCTATTTCCCTCTCTCCCCACCCCAGGCACCTGTTTGTTCATCATGATGTAGATGACCGGGTTGTAGATGGCGGAGCTCTTGGCAAAGAAAGCCGGCACGGTCATAAAGATGGGGCCAAAGTTGGAGCCTTGGTGGGTGAAGATGTAGAAGGCCACGCTCGCATAGGGGAGCCAGCAGATCAGGAAGAAGATAACCATGAGGATGACCATCCGAGTGACTTCCTTCTCAGCCTTCTGGGTGGTGGCTGACTCCTGCTGCTGTGCAGCCGCCTGCAGGGGTACAGCCCCGTGTCCAGCCCATGGGGTCTACACATACCTCAGCACCCAGCTCTGGCCACCCAGCATGGGTCTGGGGACACGCGTACCTCCTTGACTGTGAAGACCAGCTGCCCATAGCAGAAGAAGATGATGATCAGAGGGATGCTAAAGTGGACCACGAACATGTAGAGGACGAAGGACTCGTTGTTGACCTCGGGCTTGAGTGTATAGTAGTCAACCCCACATGAGCACTGCATGCCCTCGGGGATGTACCTGGGGGCCGGAGACAGGGACAAGAAAGTTGGAAGGGAACACCTCAGCTGAGCCTAAGTCCATGGAGGCTGGAGCCACTGCAGGCCTTAGGAAGCGTGGTGTCTTTATCTGCTGGCCCCATCGCCAGGTAAGACTTATCTGTCTCTCTCCTTAGGGCAATTCTCAAGCTTCCTGACATTTGATCACACAGCTCTTCTCCACCAGCCTGATGCCCTTTGGTGGTTTAAATGAGTTGGCAGAGGATGCCGGGGAGGAGGGCTGAGGCCTGTCCTGTAAACGCAGCAGTCTGGAGATGAGGGTCTCCTAGCAATAGCAATGCATTCTGCACTAGGATAGGCTTGCTTCCCTCTATGGGAGTTGGTGCAGCTTCTAGAAACAAGGCTGTTGTAATGATGTCTGTGGATGGTGACACTGCCCTCGGAAACCCCAGGGTGTCCATTGAGTGTATCTGTAGAAACTGCCAAGCCAGGAGGAGGAAGATGAGGACTGAGGCCAGCCTGGGATGAGGGGCTCTGATTGAGCAAGGGCCACTCGGTGAGTTCTTGAAGGGCAGGGCAGAGATGTGAGGAGAGAAAGAAGATTCTCTGAGGCTTCTGGGTACCTAATAACCTGTCCAGGTGTCCAAGCCACCGTCTCTACCCTCTCTTGTCTTACCTACATTTGGAGATGGTGGCCTGGAGGCTGGATGGGCCTCAGTTCCTGGGGTAGCTATAATGACACCATGCATGTTGGGAAAGTTCAGCTTCCCCATGGGGCTGAGGTCCAAGGTCACAGAGAACTGCCCCATGCTCAGGAGAACTCAACCAAAGAGGATTGTAGTTTGGCTTTGACTTAACTGAGGATTAGGGACTCGGGTCAAGGTGAAGAGTTGGGGTGTTCAGGGTTCCCCTTGCCATGGATGGCTCAGCGATAGAATCAGACTCACTGTCCCTCCCTTCTCCCCTGCCTCAGACCATGTTATATAATGCCTGGAACCAGCCCCCAGGCTCTGTGTTCTGAACAGGAACCCCACAAAGGTCTTGCCAGACGCAATGCTCAGTGCCATTACCTGGACCAGCCGACAAGCGGGGGAGCAGCACAAGCCAACGCCATGACCCAGGTGAAGGCCACACCCATAATGGCATGATTCTCCCCAAAGCGGAAGTTGCTCATGGGCTTGCAGACCACTACGTACCGCTCAATAGCCAGGACCACCAGGGACCACAGGGCGATTTCACCTGCAAGGCAGTTGGCAGCTATCAGTCCTCCAGCTCTGACTTCAGACAAGAGAGAGCAAACACTCCCAGAGAGCACAGGGCAGCATGATTGAGACTTGAGCCCCCGGCCCAAGGGATGCAGTGAGTTTGGCCAGGAAGAGGGAGGGGGATGAAGAACCCATGTGGCAGAGATGAGCAAAGGAACGCCAAAGACCTGACAGCCTTTCTGTTTGGTTAGAGCTTTCGGTTCACGAGACACTGCCTCAGAATGGCTGGGGCCACACACTGGGTAGTGCTTCGGCAGGGGAAACACAGGGACAAGGAGGGAGCTCCAGACTCCAGCCCACATGTCACCCATGGAAACTCAGTATGGAGAAGGGCCACAAAGTAAACCAGCCCCGGGACACTTTCGGGAGTGCTACCAACAAGAATTTCTGGATGACAGCTGCGGCTTGGGTCTGACCCCACAGAGACCAGCTCACTAGCATGGAACCCCAGTTTCTGTCCAGAGACTGGGGGACCGTAATCACAGAAGGCTAACAAAAGATGCCCACAGTGCAGCAAAGTTGCCAACCAAGGCAGCACCCCGGACATGGAGGAGATAAGATAACATCCTTGGGATCCATTGCCCTGGCCTTGCTTGGGCTTTGTGAGGCCCAAGTCCATTGGTGACATTGCTGGATCTCAGTCAGGAGACCCCAACTCTGGTTCCGGCCCCGTCACATTTCTGAATGAGTTTTTCACCTGCTCCTTTCCTCAGTTTCCTCAGCTAAATAGGTTCCATTGTTCCCATGGTAAGCTCATTGATTTTCAAGTCAAGTGAGAGAGATGTTTGGAAACACCCGGTGTGGCAAGGCGGTCCATGCCTGTGATCTCAGCACTTGAGAAGCTGTGTAGCTGTCCTCAGCTACACAGTTTAAGGCCAGGATAGACTATGTGAGACTGTGCCCCTCCCCCAAATATAGAAAGAAAAAGAAAATAAACAAACGAGGGAAGTAGAAAAAGACAAGATCTCCTGAGTAAATTAGGAGCATGGGGACCTTGGGAGAGGGGAGGGGAGAGGCAGGGAAGGGAGCAGAGAAAAATATAGAGCTCAATAAAAATCAATAAAAAATAAAGTAAGCGGCAAAAAGAAAAGAAAGAAATGAATCCTCTGAGATTCCCAGTGTATGGAGCATGCACTCATGATGGAGACCAGCAGGACTGAGAAGGCAGTCAGACAGACACCCAGTACACCGACCCAGTTGTCACCTGGACCAGAACCTATGTGCCTTTTCTTACTCATCCTGGTCCTCAGTCTGAGTCTGGCCCAGCTCAGCTGCCTCAGAAAATACCCTCACACACCATAGCTCCCCAGTGAGCCCTTGACCTCTCTGAATCCATGTTTCTTGCATTACTCATGAGATAGATGAGCCTTCAATGCTTGCTCTAAATAAACAGCCTAGCTCAGCATCACGGTGTTGTCGTAAGGGCTTCGGATGAGACCAATTGAAGAGGAGTGGAGAGACCCGTTAAGCTGCTGCTCCCAAGCTGCAGACCCTCCCCAGGCCCTTTCATGCCCCCTTGGCCCCCACACTACACCCCAATCCCTCTGCTCATACCGCCCAGTGTGGCGAAGAAGCCCTCGATGTTACATCCTGTGGGCCCAAAGATGAAGTAGCCATGCAGTGAGGTGTAGAGCGTGGTGGTGAATCCTCCCAAGACCATGAAGAGGTCAGCCACAGCCAAGTTGAGCAGGATGTAGTTGAGCGGTGTACGCAGCTTCTTGTGCTGTACGGTGACATAGAGCGTGAGGAAGTTGATGGGGAAACCCAGCACGATGAGCAGGAACATGTACGCTGCCAGCACGGAGAACTGCCAGGGTTCCGCCAGGTAGTACTGTGGGTACTCAAAGGGGCTGCGCACCACTCCTGTGGCGTTCGAGAAGGGCACATAGAAATTGGGGCCCTCCGTGCCGTTCATGGTTGCGGCCCTTGAAGCTGCCCCACAGGCTGCTCGTCAACAGAAACTGAGGCTGCCTGCCTAGCTCAGCCACCTACAGCTCCCACAGTGCAACTCCAGGCATCAACCCCCCCAAGGACCCTTATAAAGTGACCTTCTCTCCCTAAGCCTGGGCTGATTCAGCATCCGGGAGATATCATACTAAGAATACTAATCTCACTGCTGCCACTGGGGCCTAATTGGCTTGCAGAGGGGCCAAGGTGACACCGGGTGGAGGCCCTGGAATAAAGGAAGGGTGTCTCGTCTTGTCCTCCCCAGAGTCCCCCCCGGAATTTTCAACCCCTGTCAGTCTGGTGGCCTCAGGTTGTGACTGGGGTCTCAGGACCCTAAGTTTGTTCCTCCATATTGCTCCAACTGACAACGCCTCTCCATGAGCTCTCCTACCCCATCCCTTCCCAGTCCCCTGGCCCTGATACGAGCTCATCTGGACATATCTGAGCATCCTACCCCATCCCTTCCCAGTCCCCTGGCCCTGACAGGAGCTCACTTGGACAGACCTGAGCACAGTCAGCTCAATCCATTACCACCCGCCCTGCCCCACCCCGCCAGGCCCAGCAGCTCGATAACTATTTGTTGCATTCAATTGGAATTTGCTCACTCACTTGTTCATTAAGCATTTATGAGCCAGCCACCTGGGACACAGAGACGGAGGCCATGGCCCTGCTAAAAGTGCTTCTGGCCTGAGCAAGACTCAGTCAGAGGAAGAAACACTTTCCAGTCCAGGGAGGGATGACTGTGGGCTATGGAGAAGGGGATGACCTGCTCAGGTGGGGCAGGACAGAGGCCCCGCATGAAGAAGCAGGCTGCCAGGGTATTCAGGTGAGTGTGTGCGGCCTGGAGGCCATGGTGAGGGCCTGAGAAGTTTTGCCTTATCTAGAAGGTAATGGACGTACAGCTCGGTGAATCTCAAGGGCAGAGAGGATGGCCAGAGACCTGTGGCTTCGGGGCTTCAGAACCCTGTGTAGGCTGAAAGATGCTGGCCTGCTGAGGATGCCAATCTGAGGGGCGGGTTGCTCTTGGACTAGCCTGGGGTCTGAGGATGTGAGGCCAGCATCTCTGCCATGTAGCTGAGGTGCCCGGAGGCCCCCGTTGTAGGTTGCTCTAGGAGCACTGTCCAGCTGGCATGGACCTGGAGCACCCACTGAGCCCCAGGCAAGGGATTTGCTTCGATTGTGGGGCCCACAGGAGACAAGAAGCCAGCACCCCATGAGGGAGATGGTGGTGAGTAGCAGTCACAAGGGGTAGACAAGGAACAGAAGGGGAGCTCCCACTATGCAAAAGCTACACCCTACAGTGTATGAAGACCTCTCTGAGACGGTGGGGGTTGAGTTAGGAGCCAATGATGGGAGAAAACGCCATGCCACTTGCCACACAGGTATCCAGACCGTGGAGCTTGGAGAGGAGGCTGGCCAGGGAAGTGTTCACCTCTGAGCCTCAGGGCCCTTCAGCTCTCTCTCTTGTTCAGTCTCTTCACACCTGGGATTCCCAGATCTGTGTGCTCAAAAAAGCAACCCCCTTCCTGGCAGGTCCCGACTGAGAAAAGGAACACAGGACTGGTACATGCGTCAGGGGGTTGGAGTTGGCCTCTAGACATTTAAGGAGCTTGGTTTGGTGATTAAGACTAATATGAATAAGGTCAAGGTGGAGGTTTTGATTCTGATATGACCCTGGTGGGCACCCCCAGATCTACCCTGACCCCCACCCGGCTCAGCAGCACCTCAGAAGCCTTGGCAGCCAACTCTTGCTGGGGCTGACTAGGAAGCTTCTCTACCATCTCACAGGGACTTTGCCCATCCCCCAGGCTCTGATGTGAACCTGCAGGGTGGGCTGGGCACACAATGGGAGCTTGGTAAACACCTGCTGACCCAGTAAGTGAGTGGGCGGGCAAGGCTCCTCTGGAAGGGCTGTCCCACCCTAAGCTGGGTTAGCAGGCGCAGGTGAGGGGACACTGGAGTCTATACTGTGTGTTAGTTCAGAGTGAGTTGAGATGGCCATTAGAAGTCACCAGCTCTGACTGACCTACTGCATCTTCACTTGCAGAGCCTAAAGTCCAAAGTGGGTCACCGAGGTCACGTGATTGGCTAGCAACAGCCAGGGCTATGACCACACAGTCTGCAGAATTCTGTGGGTTCCTTCGTAGGAGAGGCTCATTCAAGCGGTCACCAGAGGAAGGGGCCTGCACTGAATCACATGGACGCAGATGGAGCAATGGTTACTCTAGAGTAGACACGGATTCTAGCCCGTGTCTCTGAGTCACCAGGATACTCTGGGAAATCTCACCTCCCCCTCTGGGCCTCTGTTTGCTGGGTCTGGGAAACCTGGGGCATGACAACCACATCCAGACTGAGCCTGGCTTGCTGTCCCCACCAGCACGACTGATGTGCCCTGGCTCCTCTGATGTCCCAATCAGGCCCTGAGCCAGCGCAGTGGTACTCCTTCCTGAACGCCCGCTTCTACAGGCTTCTGCTCCTCCCTCCGGTCCCAAGGAGAGTCAACACCACCACACTCCGCAGCAGGGGCCATCCCCACTGAGTGTCCTGTCTACTACCTGCACTGTCACCACAGAGACCAATGGCTCCCAACCTGTGAATCACAAACTCTTTGAGGGTCACATATCAGATATTTACACTATGATTCACAGCAGTAGCAAAATTACAGTTATGAAGTAGCAACAAAATAACTTTATGGTTGGGGTCACCACAACATGAGGAGCTGTATTAAAGGGTCGCAGCATTTGGAAGGTTGAGAACCACCGACCTAAACCATCTTGTCCTACTGAACCAAAACTCACTAGCATATCTGAAATGCAGGTCAGCCGAGCCTGTTTCTGGGCGTTCAGCTCTTGGCCCACAGTTTAAAGACACCTCGTCCCTGTAGGTCAGGACCCCTCAGCAGAGGTAAGTATGCAGTCCGGCTCTGGTTTCTTGCCCTCTCAAGTGAGGGGTATTGGAAAGACTAGTGCTACACAGGGGCGTGAGTTACTGGGGCTGGGCTGTTAAGAACCGTGAGGTACTTGGATGTCAGGGCCCTGGGAAGCTATTGCGGAAGCTAGCTACAGCCATGTTTGGTGGCTCAGAAGTATGGGCAGTTGCGGGGCACCGAATGGAGGATTAGGGGCTTAGCCACCAGTGCTAATAGCTCTTAGGCCTTGGAAGGAAAGAGCGCTGCTGGGTCAGCAGGCCCCTCCTTTTCCTCTCAGCAGTCCTCTGACTGCATCACCAAGGCCTTACTGAGCATGTCAAGGGAACCTGGAAAGAGAGGCCTTCACTCCTTTCCGTCCTTACACTCCTGGTGTCTGCTTCAGTCTATTGTGTTGAATGCGCGCGTCTACAGACAGATGAACTGACAGAGAGAAGCAACAATCTGCTCCTAGCCCCACCTGCCCTGCTCAGCTCTGCCTTCACTGTGTAAACTGGAGCCAGTAAAGAGGCATAATGGAGGAATTCTGAGGCAGAGCCATGGTGTTTGTGTGTGTGTGTGTTTCTGGCGTTAGCAGCCTTTCAGGCAGAATCTATAGAAATGTAAGTCCCACAGGAGCACAAGTGGCCAGGAGGGCCCCTGCAGACCTCAGAGGAGGTAGCCTCAGAACCTGGGGCAGGCCCCCAAGCCTGGGTCACAGAGAAGGAGCAGTCCCAGGGGTTAAGTCCTGTCTCAATGTAGGAGCCTTGCCTGGTGGAGGCCTCAGTGGCCCAATCACTTTTGCCATTGCTACGTAAACCCCAGGCCAGGGAAGAGGCACAATGGAGGGACAGCAAACCTGTGAGGCAGAGCCATGGGGACTCTTAGCTTCAGCAGCCATGTAGAGGGAAAGGTCAGGGAATGGAGACCCACAGATTCCCTGCTGTGGATGCGGCACACAGCATCAGGACACAAGCCCTGACAGTCTTATCAAGTTGTGGGGCTCCAGCAGTCACCCCTCCCTGTTCTCACCCTCTTTCTGACAAAACCATCACTTCCAGCTCCCTGTCCTAGCTTCCTCCAGTCAGGGTCCCTGTGAGTTCCATTTATAGATGCTGGCTATCACTGAACACTCTGTATTCAAGCTGAGGAAGTGTTCTGAGGAGGAAACGGAATCCAAGTAGGGAAGAGAGCAGATCACGGCACTCAGGGCAAAGGCTACATATGGGATGGGTCAAACTTTGGCTCGGCAGGTACGTTTGTTCAATCAGGGAGTGCCTCTGGGCCTCAGTTCCACTTTCTGTGTGCGGGCACCCCTCGAGACTGCTCAGACCAGACACGATGATGCACTGCCTCAGGGGCTTGGCTCCCAGCAGGACTCTCCTGAACTTGTGTGTTACGGGCTGAGAGGATGCATGCCGGCATCTCAGACAGCCTCCAGCACCTCCCCCCCACCCCGAACCTCCAGCCATAGACCATCTGATCTGTCACTGTGATTGACGCCTGTTGGGTAGCTGGCACTGTTTCCTCCCTCACCCCACTTTTTTCTCAGCCATATGCAAATGATTTCAGTTCAAGGCACGCGCTAATGGAAATCCTAACACATTAATAAATGTTTAGTGCGAGAGAGAGCATGCATGATCATAAGCAATTAGACACTCGACGGAGGAGTTGTGTTGGCACAACTGTCTGGCTCCCTCCTTCACTCGCTCCATCATCTCCACAGAGGCAGAGGGGGTGGGGAGGGCCTGGACCTGGCCTAACCTCTGCCACCCGCTCTACTCTCATCTCTTCACCCCAGCAAGGGGGCACGCTACCACCAGCCTCACAGGGGGTCTTCAGTGTGCCTCCCAGCTGCTCAGTCTCCCTGCTCCCACTTGTTAAGATACTGCGTATGTGGTAGTGTGGGGGTGTTGCTGCCTGTCCCTGGGCAGGTGGCATGCAGGAGGACTTCCGAGATTACACCTCTAGGTGCCCACTCATGGCTGGAAGCCCGAGGGCCCTATCACCTGCTGCTCTTCTGATGATGGCCAGCACGGGGGCTGCGGCTGCAGAGGTACCCC